GCAGGAAACAATCTTTGAAACTGTGTCATATTTAATCCAAATTCCCTTTTTCTGAAATTATTAAAAATATTAACTCTCACTCCCAATAGGACAAATATAAAATATCATTTAAATAGGCATGGATATAAAAATATATTGAACTATTTAGAGTTTTAATTACACCTAATTTTTCTTATTTTATGCTCAAAACTGCAAGTTATTTTGACAACAGTTATTCAAATGTTCATTGTATTATAAGGAAATATTTTAAAGCATTAGTTCATTAGTTGAATTTTAAATTACACCCTTTACCGCCAAATGCAATTCCTTTTTAATATCAATAAGCAATTTTTTAAATCACATTTTAAAATGTCACCCTAACTATTCATAGTATGAAAATTAACTATTCTCTCTGGAGGTGCCTTTTCTCTCCATATGTAGTTTTTATTACCCAGCTAGTATTCAAAGAGTTTTCAATTTAATGTACCACAAAGGCTTTTCACAGCTGAGACACCTTATAACTTCATTAAGTATGCAAATAGCTTGTCTCCATACAGCAAATTAAATTGCATACAATAGGAAAGCACTTGGTTTAGAACAAGAATAAACACCAATTCTCCATAAAACTCATGTTTGTGAATGCTTTTAAGCCAAGAAACAACTTCATTCGCAAATGCACATGTGGAAAGAAGAGTACAAAATGCCTGCAAAATAGAAAATATGTTTAAGATTTAATATCCAGAATATAAAGGGTAAATTTCACACTTATAAGAAAATATATTCCTCACTAATTTGAATTTATATTTGCTTTCTTTTTAAAGCAGAGGAAGACATGTCTGAAAACTTGTATTTGGAAACAAGATAGTCAAAATAGGCTGGAGAGATCAGAGTTGACAGTATATATATTTATGGCACCTTCCCAGACATTCTATCCTGTGTTGCTGCAGATCCATATAAGAGGTTCCATACCCAAGTAAATAGCTAGTATCTGAAATGTGCTTCATTTGTAAGCTATTGTGCAAGAAGATTTAATGAACCTAAACTGTTTCATGACCAGTTAAAAAGGAAATGGCAATCATACTGATATAAGCAAGACAAGGGCTTGTACGTAGAAGTATGAGAAGAAATTATCATTTCTGAACAATGTGTTTACGGCAGGGAGGAAGACACACACACACACACACACACACACACACACAGAGAGAGAGAGAGAGAGAGAGAGAGAGAGAGAGAGAGAGAGAAATTTATCTTTAGATTTTTTTGACCCAGTATCTCAGAAATCTCAATCACTAAACAAAGCTTGTATTAAAATGATATCCTCGCTTAAGTCAACTGTAATCAAACCATGCATGAAAATTATAGAACAGTAACATCTTATGTTACTCTTCCCATTAAAGATTATTACTGTTTTGTATTTGGCTTAGGAATATTTAAGAATTCTGGCTGTGTATCTTCAGGGAAATCTCTAAATGAACAGATTGTCAGAATCAGTCACACGATGTTCAGCCTAATAACTCAATCCTAAATTCTTCAGGATAGAGCCAGACTGATGTAATGGTTAAGACATCAGGTTAGAAACTGAGAGACTGTGAGTTCTAGTTCTGCTTTAGGCATGATCTTGACCCTGATCTTGAGTCAGTCACACTCTCTAGGAAGCAGGCAGTGGCAAAACCCTTCAAAACTCTTGCCAAGAAAACTGCAGGGACTAGTCAAGGCAATTACCAGATATCAAGACTGACTCAAAGACACACACATGCACGCATAAACACGGCTTCTGAATGGGTGAAAAATGGCAGATTGATGTGCTTCCTTCTATTTTCTTAGAAATCTATCCTGAATGTATCAGCACCAAGTATATCAGTTAGGTAGACTATGTCTAAGGATAAACTTTATCCAGGATAGTTTTCTAAGAAGATATTTCAAGACTGGGCTGGTAAACTGCCATGAAGTGATAAATAGCTTTTTAGAGTGCTGGAGGGCAGGATACATTTCACAGTGAATGCAGCTAGGACTAAAACAATAACTGACTCATTTTAAATTATACTAGTGAATAATCAAAATTAATAGCATATATTTGTTTCTCCCAAATATTGTTATATTCAAAACTACAATTTAGTTGCAACTTTTGAAAGGACTGTAAAGATTGTACCCAAGGTTGGGGGGGATGGTGAGAGGGCTGTTCTGTGAATTCATGCCATGCCATGCACACATTTGAGTAGTTTCACAGAACATAGTAAAACTTGCTTTAAAATAGGTATTTTTATAATTGGTTGTAAGAGTTATACATTCTATTCTGTTTACAAAGTATTTACAAAACAATAATGTTGTTTTTAGATGGATACTTAAATATCATAACAGAATTTACAACTCTAAGAAGCAGTTCTAAAGATAGTTGCTCTCAAGCAAGTCATTTAATGGTAAAGTGTATGTATACAATTAACCATCATTTATAGCAGTAGCAACAACCCAAATCAATCCAGTGCAGATCTCTCTCTCTGTTTTCAATGAAATTGGATTATCACACCAAATAAATGACATGAATGTATTTTAATAGAACACCCCTCCAAAGAGCATTTTCCAAACATTTAAAAAACAAATGAAGCCAGAAATCAAAGCAATGAGAGTCACTGTGAAAAGAATTATGAGTTTCACTTAGAACAGAATGAAAAATGTAGGTTTTTTTGTTATGTACTCTGCAGAAACTGGGATTAGTTCATTTTCGTTGATAGTGTACTAGAAGTTCAGCCTTTTTCTTTTTTCTTTTATTTCTTCCTACTACAATGTAGGTAGTCCTCGACTTACAACAGTAATTGAGCCCAGAAATAGGGTTGTAAGTCGGGCCAATCATTAAGCAGGTTACCATGTGACTATATCTGATTTTACAACCATTTTTGCAATGGTCATTAAGTGAATCATAGTACTCATGAAACAAACACAGCCATTGTTAAGAAAACCCTTTGCCTGCAACGGTCCGTCACATGACCACAGGAACATTCCCCATCTCCAATAGTATCTATCAATCTCTGTCAATTCCTTTATAAAATGATACATGCATGCACAGTAAACATAGAACAATACTTTGTTAAATTGTAATTTTAGACATAGAGGGATTTAAGATAATGATCTTAAAGGGCTGATACTTGTCAAGGTAGCTGGATTCTAATCATTTCTCCTTTTTTAAGTGATGTCGAATATTTCAATTTGGTCCGTGAGAGCAAAATGTTTAAAAGCTAAAACTTGCTATTTATTCATCAGCCCGAGGTGTGTGTATGTGTGTGGGGGAAAGTTGCCTTATAATGTAATTTTAATGTGTAACATCAACTGAAGCATCCTGAAAAAGAAAGGAATTTTTCCCTAAATAAATCTGTGCATATTTTCAAAAATACATTTTCAGATTATATACTGAATACAATAAAACCATCATTTTTAAATGATCTTACCTCATCAGTTTGAACATTAAAGGAATTAAAAATATAAGAAGCTACTTTACTTTTCAAAACACTGTATACGTCAGTTATTCACAACAAATGAGAATTGTAAACCAAAGAGCATTAAGAATTTCAATATTTCATCAGTATGGAGGATAGTTTCATCCTGTGCATAAGTATTCTGGAAAAACCATCAAAGAGCAAACATCAAAGGATTCCATTATAGGTATTTGGTTTCCATTTACTATGCACTTCTGCTGACTAACAATCCAGTGATGTTCAAACTGCTTTTGACAGGTACTGCTTTTAACCATTTATAATTAACAGTGTATGTCCAGCTACACATTGATAGAACTCCCTAAGTAATTTATTACTGTACTTAAAAGTTTACCACCAATAACCATCTCCTGTCTTGCCTGAACACTCTTGTACCTTTTTATTTCTTAAGTCATATGCTTTTCAAAATCAACGAACAATAGTTTCAAAACTCTCTTAAAATTCACAGTACCTATGAATTCAAATCAGAAAGATATATTCGCCAAATATGAAATATGATGAGGTTGGATTCTTATGCTGAATTTACAATGCTCCTTTAGATCTATCCCTCTATTACAAAATGACACAGATTTTATGTTTCCTTATTTTTTATTTATACTTTTCAGTTCTTTAATTATGGCAGGACAGTCTGGAGCATAAACATTTCTGGGCTTCTTACATTTTTGTTGTGCTGAAAGGAGCTTTTACTACTGTATATTACATGTCACTATAAAGAATAGTCAATTAATTTTAGATATGTTGGGGGCTTGCAAGAATACCTTCCCCAATTCATACTTTGATTAGTTTTAAAATCTTAACCTGTGTAGTTTTAATATTTTAACATATTTTTCTACTTGTTTTATAATTTGTAAGCTACCCATAATCACCTTATAGGGGAGATGAGTGGCATAAAAATTTAATAAATAAAAATAAATAGATTCATTACTTATTGCAAAGCTAAAGGTAAGGATATGTAATGAGGAAAAAGTGAAACTGGAAACCTGTTCCCTTTTCATCTCCTTCAACTTCTGAGCAAATAAAACAGCTCAGTTTAATCTGAAGTAGCTCAACAGAGGTAACAACGAGAGGAAATACTAGTGTGGCATTTTTACCATTCCAACAAGTAATTCCAATCACATTCCTTACCCTTTTAAACTTAAAAAAGGGGCAAAGATCGCAGTCGGAATGCAAATCTTAAAAGAAACTTTTAAGAAACACGGACAAGAAACTGGGAGAGGCAAAATGGCTCGAAGGAGAAGAGCTTTTTCTGAGAACCATTTCTATTCGCTGGGAAAATGCCAGCGTGCCAGTCACTAAGCTAAGTAGTCAGAAGGTGCTCCGAGCTGGGCCCATTGGCAGAACTGAAGGCACCTCCCCTAGCCCACCATTCAGCGTGGGGCAAATCCCGATTCAGAAACTCCACTCAGAAACTTGCGAGGAAGTTGACCCGCACTTTACGGGGACTCATAGAGCACTTTACATCTCTTACAATGACATGCATAGGGATTGTTTGGCACGAAACGAAAGGTTGCAGCTGCCCTTCAGCTCTTCCCTCACCTGCTGATAAAGCCGTCGCCGTCCCCATCGCACGTCTGGAACAGGCGCCTCATCCTCTCCTCCTCGCCCGTGCTGGAAGTGTCGCTGCTGCTGCTCCCGGTGCTGCTCACGCTCACCTCTACCACCACTGCCGGGCCAGCCGCTGTCGCCATCATACGCTCTGCCCCGAAGAAGCGGCGACGGCGACTCAAGCCCGCTCAGGCGTCCAAGGCTCCCGGAACCTCCAACTCGCCAGGGACCCCCCGCGCGCTCCTCCCTCCCAGCTCAGCTGTCGCGCATACAAAGCACGAGAGGCGGCACAATGAAAACAAGTAGGGCGGGGAAATCCAGACCCTCCGCCGCTCCTTCTCGCGCACGAATTGAGCGCGGGCCGCCTCGTGCGCCAATCAGGCACATCCTAGGGACGGCGCGCGCATTGACTGGCGCAGGAGACCCGCTCTGGCCCTTTTCTTTGGAAGCAAAAGCCAGGAGTTCGTCGGCTTGCAACGGAAGAACACGGGAGAGTTGGGTGGAAGACGGTGGACGCAGAGGTGGAAGTTTGCGTGCTTATTTGTGATTTCGGCTCATTTTCTTGCGACATAAGCGAACGAACGGAATATCTTTCTGGAGCAAATGGAAAGAATACTGTATTTGTTTCCGTCTGCAGACTACATATAGATGGACGACTCCCGTAAAACATCGCTTCAGTCCGTAGTAGCAGTTACCTTTAAAAAAAAAGAGCCGCTGGCTTGGAGATTCGGTTTTCTTGGATCTTTTTTACTCCCAATAGAAATGCCTTTGATGCTTTTCCACAGTGAATGATTATTTGATGAATCCACAATTCAACTGTGTGATCCGTGCTGTTTGGTACACTGTCAACAGTGCACTGCATGTGAATTATGCTCGCAAAAGTTATGCTTGGGCTTGCTGATGATTTGCCTTGAGCAAAAATGTTTCTATCTGCGGTTCGTGCCAAACAACCATTATGTATGTCATATAAGAGATGTAAAAGTAAAAATGAATGAAATATTGCATCTGCCCAAAATGTACCTCTTTGTATTACATTATTCATTAACTATACTGTAATCGTAAATTTTCTTTGCCTTAAGTCAAATGTTTCTGACTATGTCTCTGATTTTTCTTGAAGTGATTAATGTTATTGCTGAGAAAAATATGAATGTTGCAAATGCATGTTTCATGAACATGGGATCAAATCTCCATCTTGATATATCAGTTAATTCATATTTTAAGTTTAAATAATTTTAGCCAATGTGGTGGCTTTTCATTTGTTTTTAATAGCTTTATTTTCTAAATGTTTTTCAGCAGCTGCACTGTACTTGAGTTTGTAAATAACAGAGTTGAAGTACCATAAAATGGTTTATAGAAGTGTTTTTGTTTCAGTACAGCACCATCTGTCTGGTTTATGGTACTCAAGTGGCATATGATGTTCTGCCCAGTTTATTTTTATGGAACAATTTCTCATCTTGGAGAGACTGTTTTATATCTTTTTAATAACTGTTTTTATTTTAAATAAAATAATTTTATATTAATATACATACCTCATCCCAATGGCAAATCATGTCTCTACACAGGTTGGTATCTGATAATCAACTATGTAGAGTGGATTTGGTTAATATTAACTTGGAATATGGAAGTATAACTGCTGAGATTTCAAGTTGCATACAGAAGTTATAGCACTAATATCTGCCCCATCTTTTTAAGTAACCACCTGGCTTCAGCAATAAATCAAAGACCTTCTGACATTTCATTGCTTAACCTAACTAATTGCTTTCACCAGTGTGAAAATTCTTAATCTTGGATGCATTAAAAACTTGATTGCAGACAACAGTGAAATCGTATATTTACCAAGAAGTGAAAGACTTATACTCAGTGGTTTACACTTGTGGTTTCCTTCTGCCCTTCCAAATTAATACCGGATGCAGAGTATTCTTATTTGAAAGCAGGAAGTTGTTGCAATTTACATAACACGATGTCTTTGACTTGGGAAATATTGATTCTTGCTTTGGTTACCTCAACACCGATAGATTATGTACCATCAAGTCAACGTTAACTCTTAGCAACTACATAGATTTTCTCCAGGAATAGATAAACCTGATTCTTCAGGTTTTCCAACAATGAAGCCATTACTGCCTTAATTGAATTCATCCATGTTGCTGCAGATCAACCTTATTTCCACATTTCTGAATTATAAATTACTCCAGAGACTTTCATCTTTGCATAAAAATGATCAAAGTATGATCATTTGAGCTTGGCCATTGGTGCCTTAATTCAAAAGTCTGAGTTGATTAGTTTAGCATGATGCATTTGTTGTTTGTTGCCTATTTCAAGTCTTACAACCACAAGCTCCAGAGTACAGTGCTCTTTTTATTTCACAAAAATGAGAAAAACTGGAACTTCTCAGACTCAGTTATATATGCATAAGACAAGCTATTAATTCAACACCATTATTTTCCTAGGTGGTGATCCTCAGCATCATTAAAAATGTTGAGTGTACTGTATACCTCAGCTAGTAAAAGGTACATTGTTATGCTATCTTTAATCAAGCAATTTTATATGTCACAATGGTTGGGATTATTTACAATTATTATCATAAACCATGATGTAAAAAACCAGTGGCAGTTGCACCATTTGCCAAAATTTGACAAACCACATTAGGAGAATTTAATTCTGATTTATGAGCACCTTGCATTTTGTTCCAAGTCATTTCGTCTCCTGATGACCTACATTGGTTTTCCAGCTGTATGCATATGTGTAAGATGCTTCTATAACAGTATAGAAAAGGCAACCTTCCCCCATAATGTAACATTAATAATACCCCTCTTCTATAGTCATACCCAAGCCATTATTTGGCCTGCAAACTTCCTTAGCAGAAAAACACTTAGTATTTTGAAGATGCACCTACCATAATTGCTTCAGAAAAGCAATCAAAGGAAACAAGTAGTACATTCCATGGGCAGATGATAGATGTAGAATTTTGATTGTTGTTTATAACTGATTATGGCTCATAGCTGCCATTTTGTGAAAGTTTGAACAAAACTTCTAAATCTATTCACCAGACTGAAAAGGTCTCCAACCTGTGGCCTTGTAAGGAACCACTCATGAATTTTACCAATCAATTACGTATCTTAACTCTACCTTTTCTTTTTTTAGAATATTTGCTTTTCCCAATTCTATATTTTTTCTAGTCACACATTTTCTCAATATATTTTTCCTTGATAATTCTAATTACATAATGTTTCTATTTCATATGCCTTCATCTAGCTACTGGCTATTTCTAAAAAAGGTTAAATATTCTGTGGAGCTAATAATTAGACTGTTTTCCAGCAAACAGGTTACCTCAATTTTGAAGCATATGTAGTTGCACTACCCTTGTTACTGCATTCTTATCAGGTTTTAATTCTTGGAATGTGTACTATTGTATGCTTGCAATTGGATTTGTTTTCCAGCATTGTGGTTAATCTCAGAAATGTCTTCCATCAAACTTCTTTACAATAAAATCCCTTCAGAGCATTTAATTACAAATCTTATCTTGACCTGTGTTTTATTTCTATTATTAGAAAGGGGCCATAACATTAAAAACATTGCAAAAACCAATTAGATCAGACTAAGTACCCATTTGATATAACATTCTGTTTTTCACAATAGCTAACCAAACAGTACACATATCAGGAAGGAGCAACCCTAACTTAAACAAAATAATGCCCTTATATTTATGCTCCCATTAGTGGAATTGGGAAAAATATATGATTTAGCAAGATTATCATATATCTGGATTTTTTCAAATAAATCCACTTTTTGCCATACTCACACTCTTTCTACCAGGTACAATCCCCCCTCCCCATGTCTAGAACTAAAGTGGCAGTGGTTGTCAGCTGAAGCATCCACAGATCTCATGGAGAATTCCTTTATCTATTCATCAGCTATGTTATTTTAACAAACTACATTTCTTTACTTGATTTTACAGGATAAGGGATGGGTACAATTGGTAAACATTTCAAAGATGGGCAAGGACTCTTCTGATCATGACTTCTGCCTGCTGATCCAGCAATGCTGATAATCCAGGGAAGTCAATGGTTGCACAGTAGCCATGAACTCGAGTAAACCCAACCTTGCTCCAAAGCAAGGAAGTTGAAATACAGCCTACCACCAGTTTAGCAGTAAGTAGGAACTAAAGGAAGAAGAAGCAGGAGGGCCAATATGCCTCCATCAATATGCTTTGTATTTGTGCGTATTGTGTCATGAAGGGTTAGAGTGCTAAATAGAGAGAGAAAGTAATAGCTATGATTTCTGTAAGAGGAAATTCCCAGGCCTTTCCCTCAATTGTTATCAATTTTACTTGAGTTACTGTGATCCTCTAATATCCTCTAGTAGGTGTCTGGAGAGATTACATGGGTAGCTTAATTTGGAGGTAGAGATTAATTCAGAGATCCAAGTTCCAAATTATATTGCATTTTACAGAACAAATCACTAATTGCTTAATGAGTGATGAGGACAAGCCAGTTAAGTACCAGAGAGATGTTCCCAATTAAAAAGCTCCTGGAATTAAAATTTTAAATAAATAGCGTAATAATATAAGAAATACACACATAAATATATTAAATAAAAAAGCCAAATGGATTATAAAATTTTATATCATACTTGACAACCCAAGCCCTGTTGGATCATCGTTTCAGAGATTTCTTTAACAGAAAAAAATGACCACAAATGGGCAACAAAACAGTGAGAGCAGGAGCAATTTCCAACTTCCCACTGAGTTTCCTTGTGGGAAGCTGGAAGGTAGCATCAGAAATCTTCCTTCCTTCCTTCCTTTCCTTCCTTCCTTCCCTCCCTCTCTCCCTCCCTCACATTCCTGACAGCTTTTGCATTCAGTTTGCTTGTGGGAAGCTTGCAGGGAGAAAATCAGTGGGGAAGCCAGCAGGAAGTAGCATGTCCATGTAAGTGGCTGCTACTGGGTAGGCGAACGACTAAGGGGTGCATGGAGGTGCAGGTCAGGAATGGTACTTGAGTACATGAGAGAGGTGCTATTGGGAAGGGAAGGGTGTGTAGGTGTGCACCAGAGATGCCATGTGGGTTGGAGAGGGCATGTGGATGGGCAGCATAAATTGGACAGAGTGTCTGGGGTGCACAGAAGATGCTATGCAGGTCAGATAGGTTATGGTATAGCACAGGTTAAGAATGGTGCATGGGGTCACGGGCATATACAAGGGGTGCTGTGCAGGTCAAGTAAGTGTGCGGTGTGGCAATGCGGATTAATAAGTATGGAAGGATACAGGGAATGGCATGAAGTCAGGGATGTCATGCAGGAGGGGATTGCCTGGGTTTATGAAAGATGCCTGGAAATGCTTGGGAGGGTACAAGAATTGCTATGCAGATTGGGAATGAGGCATAGGGGGTGGCACAGGTCAGGGTGTGTGGGAGTGCCCTAATGTGCCAAATAGATCAGGGAAAATGTGCATGGAGCAGCGCAGATCTGGGAGACGAGGTACATAGGAGTGAACAGGAAGTGCTGTGTGGATCAGGGGAGGCATACAAAGTGTAGTCTGAATATGAGAAGGCATGTGGGGGGGGGGTAGCACAGTTTGTGCATGTAGGTGCCTGGGCTGGGAAGAGAGCATGGGGTTCTTTTCTGTTTCTTTCTTCCTCTTTCCCTTTCTGTCCCTTTCATGCTGTTTCTCCCGAAAGCTTCTATGTTCAGCTGGATAGTTGGGTCTCTTTTTTTTTTATTGAAGCATAGACATCCAGTGATTCTGTAGATATAATAAAATATATACTAAAATATAACAGAGACTGGATTTTTTCTTAAGGTTAAATCAAGGGCTTCTATCCTCAGGATGACAGAAAACCCTACCAAGATGCCAAACTTTGATTTGGTTTAGCATGCTTTGTGAGGGCAGCCACTGTGATTTATTACTTAGTAGAAGTATGTTTCATTACTAAATAACTTATTAGGACAACGCTGGAAGTACGCCGGACATCATCATCTGAGCCACAAAGACTTATATGAAAATAAATGCATCCATCTGCATGGTGCCAGAAAAGGATGCGTTTTTGTTCTATTTATTTAACATGCTCAGAAGGCGATCTCCTTCGGAAGATTTCTGGATTCACATAACACGCTAACCATATTTTAAAAATCACCCTAATCACACAACACTCCAACTCGTATTTTAATTTAGCCCGCTCATAGGACCTAAAGCTTACAGTATTAGTGTCTATTTATTAGGCCAGAACGTGGCACCGACACATAAAACAGCCACCCTCAGTAAATCGAATCGTATTTGACTTGCAATAGAGTCGTGCCTGATGTTCAGAAGCGACCTCCCCTCATCAGCGCCAGCGCATAAGCCGGTTTCTTCTCTTTCTGCCATCCCTTTCCCGCCTGGGAGGCTGTGACGTCATTCCGCGCAGCCGAAAACTCCGCCCCTTGCGCTGCTCTTTTCAGTTTTTCGACGGAGTTTCGGGGTATTTCGGGCCTGGCGCCGCCCGACCCGGCTTCTAATGGCGGCGGCGAGCTTGAGTTCCTAGGCGGCGCTAGGAGATGTCCCGGCCGAATAGCATCTCGCCTCGGCCCTCGGGAAGCGGGTCCACAAGTGGAGGCCCCTCTACCGCTTCCGCCGCCGCCTCCTCCTCATCCTCCTGCTCCGGCGGTGGTCGCGCCAAGGGGCTGAAGGATATTCGTATTGATGAAGAAGTGAAAATCTCTGTGAATATCGCTCTGGAGCGGTTTCGATATGGGGACCAACGAGGTAAAGGCTCCTTATCCCGGAGGAGACCCACAGTTGATGGGGTCGTCCCTGCCTTGAACCAGGGTTGCCCTCCCCCCCCCCGCCGAGACAAGCTAATCCAGTGTTAAAAGGTTTGCAAATTAAGTGGTCCTTCCCGTTGGTTCTTACTGTGGATCGAGCTAGAAGTGCTCTCTCAGTGTATCCGACAAACAATGAGAATTGTTGTTCAACACAACTGGAGGATATCCCTTAGGAAGGCTTAATGGGAATAATCAATTGCTGGTGAACAACTGCCTGTATTGTTTTTTTACCCTTGAGGTCAAAAGAGATATATTTCTGTTGTGTAAAGGAGGCCAACCTTACCTCCCCTGCATTAATTACTCTAGGAAAGTACAGATGTCTTGGTTGCTGATTGTAGTTATTGCTGCAGAAATAATATAGCAGCATCAATAGACAGCATTTCTCAAGGACAACATTCAGTCTTCTTTTATCTATTAGTTACCTAAGGTCTTTCATTCTCTTGCAACTTACAAGGCAGTTTTCTTCCACTCCATAAAACTCTTTTAAAATACTTTTAATCAGATTCTTTAATACACAGTTGCTCATACTGATAATATTTTCAAATATTCAGAAATAAAAGATTTTTCTGCAGTTTTATATCAGGGGTATACTAAGGGAAGATCATCTGAGTTGAATCATTTGGCTTTGATATTTGCTATTGTTTGTGTGTGTTCGTGTGTAAACAGCAAGACCAAGCTGCAGATAAATAAGGCATGTTTCCAATTGTGCTGTCCCACATACCTTGAAAAGATAACAAGCAAGCGTGGTCATAAAGAAACCAGGAAGTTTACCAAGCCCTGAGTACCAAGCATTTCTTGGTTAAGAATTTATATACTTCTCTGATATAATATTTTTCATAGATTCATTTGTCCATTTATTTAAATGCCATGTAAAATAAAAGTAATTTACACATTTAGCAGTCAATAGTTTATTTTCTCCCCAGTGTATTACTAATCAAATTTGTTAATTGACATGTGATATAATTCTGTGTGTTCTATTCTGAAATAAGTTCCATGGGATTCAATGGAATTTTTCCAAAGGAGACTCCTTTCTCATCTTTGAGAAATATTTGTTCCTTTTTATGAATGAAAATAATCCCAGTGAATATTCCCGTTGTAATTTTCTCCTGCAGAAATGGATTTTCCTTCATCATTGACCAGCACTGAGAGAGCTTTTATTCATCGACTAAGTCAATCTCTTGGTTTGATTTCTAAAAGCAAAGGGTAAGTTGATATCTTATAAAATAAGCAGCTTCCATGTATTGCGAGTCAATGTGGATCATTCAAAATTAATATTTCTAATACAATTGTAGTTTTAAACTTCTGAAGTATATTTTGATGTTCTTCATGAGTTTAGTGTGCTTCTGTTTTAAATAGTGCTACATATAGTTACTGTATTGCTTTCAAGTCCTTGTTCATAATTCCTTGTTTAGATTGAATTGATAGCCAGATAACACTGGCTATCAATTTATCCTGTGCTGCTGCAATAAATATATTCATTTAGATCAGTGGTTCTCAACCTTTTTAATGCCGCGACCCCCAACCGGTCGTAAGTCGAGGACTACTCAACTGGTGCAGCACCGTTTGCAGAATGGGACTTTTGGCGGGCTCAGCAGGGCAGAGACAGCCTGGACAATTCCTATTGGCTTTTGAAAGCCAATAGAATTAGACTCTATTCAGGAGAGTCTATTCTATTGGCTTTCAAAAGCCAATAGAATAAAAGGGAGTAGCACAGCTAAGGAAAAGGGGAAAAAAATGGCGGAGTGCGTTGTTTGGTGACTCCCGTGAAATGGTCGTTGGACCCCAAATGGGGTCCCGACCCACAGGTTGAGAACCACTGATTTAGATTTTATACTATTTTATTATGTTAATATTTTTTTAAAAAAGTGATTATTAGATTAAGAATAGTATATTTAAGACATAAATTCTGTAGATGTTAGAAGTAAAATGCATTGAAATGAGCTGGACAGGATTTAACAGTAGGTTTTCTGGTCATTGACTATATAAAAATTCTTACTGTGTTTTATTCTGGGAATCTTTATCAGAGGCTAAAACTATATATAATTCTTTGAATAATCACAGTGAAGTTTCTTTAGTTATAAATAATTGTGGTACTCACTCATGATCTCAGTAGATGGCAGCATCTGACTGAGTATGTAAGATAACTAGGATCGCCCTGGTTAATGTTGAAATGGAAGATCACTAAGCACTGTAAACTAGACTGGGAAGTTAAAAACATTCCAGAAGTCAGCAGTGAAAAAACTTATATCAAGAAGACCGCATGGATGTATCAATGAAGATACCAAGATTCAAGCTCATTGAAAGCAGACTTTACTTTTACTCTTATGATTCTCATTAGTAAAATCTTAGATGTTCCTAAAAAGTTATTAATGCTTTAAAAAGTATGTGTTTAGAATGATAAATATTTCAGCTTATAGTATAAAAAGCCTTTCATAGAAACAAACTCAGTTCTATATATTTTAAATCCTATTCATTGAAATGTATACTAAGCATTTAAAATACAGTAGGGATTTGCTGTATTCAACTGTGTTGTGTTTGATTGTATTTCATAGTAGCTTATCTGTGCATTGTTAATTCAGAAATAATGAACTGTTATAGAGACCAAACTAAACAGAAACCTAGCATATTTTAATATTCTTTGAGATAATTATTTTATGTCTAGATATTCCGATTAATGTGAATGTATAAAGATCATTCCTGGTGATAAATACAACAGTGTGTCCATATTACAGGAAAGGAGCGAACAGATACCTAACTGTGAAGAAAAAAGATGGATCCGAATTGGCACATACAGTGATGACTTGTAGTTTGATTCCAAACACAAAGCATGCTATTAGAAGTTTAGTTCAAAGATTTCCTGTAACTAATAAAGAACGCACAGAACTTCTACCAAAGACAGAGAGGGGAAATGTATTTGCTGTTGAAGCTGGTAGGTTGAGTATACCCTGAAAAACTGCAGTATATTATGGCAGGAAAATATATTCCTGAAAGATATGCTTAGAAAATGTTACCATTACAGTCTGAGATTTTTATAAAGGTAATGATTGCTATCCTAATGAATGTAAGTTCAATCTATGTTGATGGTGCTGATTCACCATTTCCCCAATACTACTTTCTAGGGTTTTTTTTTTTTTTGGTTTTTTTTAAAGAATTCTCTAAACCACTAAAGAAGAAAAAAGGAGAGATTTGGTGGAATGCTTCCCTTTCCCTTTAATGAGTTCTAAACAAAACTCAGGATTCAGACCTATATTTTCAGTAGTAAGTAACAATAAGAGTTACAGAAATAACTTCATTAAGAATGGACATTAGGTGGAATTTGACATTGTTCAAGTAGGATTTCAGTACAGATTCCATATATCTTAAATTTTACTTTGAGGAGCCGGGGCCATACAGATGAGATTCTGAAGAAATCTGAGGAGCGCACCAGCCTGCTCTTTGATTCCTCAGAAACATTCTTGATTTTTTTCTACTATTGTAGTTTAAAGACCATTTTAAACTCTTTTTGTACCCTCCAAAAATAGCTATATGTTTTACTTCTGCCTCATGGTAGGCTTGAGCTTAGCTGTTTTAATCTCATAATCTTTACAATACTAAAAAAAGGTTTAAATCTACAGTTTTCCTATGTTTTGGAGCAACATACTGAACTCCCTTCTGTTCTAAAGTCTTAAATAATCCAAACTTGTCACAGACCAGGTAGTTTGGTGGCCACACAGGAAACAATTCATCACTGAAGCGATGAGACTAGTCCTCTAAAGCTTTCACGTGGGAGTGGAAGACAGGTTATATTAGTTCTGGCTGTTATTGTGTAATCACTAATCTATTTAGTATTTTGATCTTTTATTTGCCTCAGGTTTTCAGAATGAAAATGTAAATAAAGTATAGGTGTTCTCTATCCATTGTGAATAAATGGAATGTGTGTCTATTCTCAGGCTGAGCAATTCCTGTTTATTCACAATTATGTTCCACAGTGTTTTATTTATCAAAGATACTATTACAGTACAAGCTAAGTAATAGTTTGGTACTGTTGTGTTGTGTGATATTCAATTTCTATAACCAAATGGCTTATTTATGGCATGTTAAGAGTAGATAGATTTTCAGCTTAGCATAATCCTTATATTTTTTTCCCCTAGAGAATAGAGAAATGAGTAAAACAAGCGGGCGTCTTAACAGTGGCATCCCTCAGATCCCAGTGAAACGAGGAGAATCAGAATTTGATTCATTTCGGCAGTCTCTACCAGTTCATGAAAAGCAAGATGAAATTGTTAGAATTATTAAAGAAAATAAAGTAATTTTGATTGTGGGGGAAACTGGATCTGGAAAAACTACTCAGGTATGTTATATATAAGAAAAATTAGAAATGTGGAAAAGCTGTCCTAATAGATAAATAAATAGTTTTAATATTTTAAAATCAGCCAGTTTCAGACGGTAATATCATGTGATGTGGGATTTGTATATCTAGTTAACTGATTTTTTTTCTAATTACACTTATATTTTATGTTCAGATACCTCAATTTCTACTTGACGACTGTTACAAAAATGGTATACCATGTCGCATATTTTGCACTCAACCAAGACGGTTAGCAGCGATTGCTGTGGCTGAAAGAGTTGCTGCTGAAAGAAGAGAGAAGATTGGTCAGACTATTGGTTATCAGATCCGATTAGAAAGCAGGTCTCACCAAATGTTTTTTGTATACTTGGATTTTAGTATTTTAGGAGTCCTGCAGATTACAAATTGTGCAAGTAACAAGCTTTAGAGATAATCTCATCCTTTCCTTGGCACATTATTTTTTTCTTTTTAATCCTATCCCTCTATATCCCTCTTCTTTTGGAAGTGGGGAAAACTGATATACAAGTAGTCCTTGACTTACAACCATAAAGGAATCCAGAATTTCTGTCATACGTCAAGGCATCCATGTGACAGATGAAATGTTACGATCTTTTTTATGGCAATCATTAAATCAGTGGTTCTCAACCTTTCTAATGCCGCGACCCCATAATACAGTTCCCCATGTTGTGGTGACCCCCAACCACTTATACATCACCGGGTGCCAGGGGCGTGGCCAAAGAAAAGGGGAAAAAAATGGCGGACAGCCTTGTTTGGCGACCCCCATGAAATGGTCATTCGACCCCAAATGGGGTCCCGACCCATAGGTTGAGAACCACTGCATTAAATGAAACCATTGTCCATAATGATGTTTTTGCTGGAAACCAGAAGTAAATGCTATGGGACATTGCAAATGATCGTAAATGTGAACTGGTTGCCAAAAATCCAAAATGCGATCACATGACCATGGGGAGGCACCTGTGAGAATTTTGAATCTGGGTTATTGTCAGGTGTGAAAGATCAGGACAGTTTGTGATGTTCCAATTAAATTGATTTGTTACTAGTGATACCTATGTATAGGAAGCTACTAAATTAATGATTAGTGTTATTTGGCATTAGATAAGAATCAGTGGAATTCCAGAGGAGGTGGTTCATTTGTGACAATGTAGAGATTCTAGGCTGATTCCTCTTTTGACTCTGCCCCAAGATTCTATCACTACTATGGTCATAAATAGATTTTTAGGGGATCCATTATAACTTTGAACAGTCACTAAGTGAGCAGTCATAAGTCAAGGAGTATCTGTTATAGGTTTGTTTGATTATTAATGCTGTATTGCATTATAGTGATAAATACTAATAGTATGTACTGTTTCCAAATGAACGTCCATTTCATTATCTCCCAAGTCTATTTTTTGATAATGCAGCAGAACATAACAAAGTGATATTGTGTTCATGGGATCCTTTTCACAGAAAGTCTTGCCTCAGACTTTTTTTTCAAAACTTTCCCAATGCTTCATCTTTTTACATTTCCAAGGTTTTCAAAATGTAATTCAGTGATTGTTTTAATGCTGGTAGTGATTTCTTTTTCTCTCCTCATTATCCAGTACTCTAAATACTTTTTGTGATTCCTCACATTAGTATTCTTGATTATTTTAATCTTGTTAGAAATTGTGAAACTGAGAGTAGTTAAGATGTTTAAAAATATTTCTTACATGTTGCCATTGTGTGTAATGCTGATATTGATTTGTTGAGGAATCAGACTACATCCCTCATTGACTGAACATGAACTGTTTCATATTTTAACCACCAACTTCTAGTCTTAGATTTTGTGCAAGTAAGTTTAGAAAAAAACATTTCCGCCTGGTAATATGTAGATACATTTTGTTAGAGGAACTACATGTAACATACCTTTGTGTTTTTTTCTTGCTTAGAGTTTTTCTATAATCCTTTATAGAATCTTTTCTTGTGATAAACCTATATTTTAAAACAAGTCATTTGGTCTTTCAGAATAACATTGCACCTTTGCAATATAATTTGTTCAAAATTTATAGTGTTGAAGTGATAGCATTGTGATTAGAAGCCTTTATTCATAGCAATTTCAATGTCTATATAATTGTGCTTAATGTTTTTATTTATTTATTAAACAAATTTATATAGCTACCCAATTCACACATCAGTGATTTGGAGAAGCTTACAATTTTTTTTAAAAAAATAACTTTTTATTAACAGGGTTTCTCCAAAAACACTCTTAACATTTTGCACCAATGGTGTATTACTTCGTACGCTAATGGCAGGAGATAGTGCGTTGTCTACTGTAACTCATGTTATTGTGGTAAGTTTGGCCAATGCTTTTCAGAAATGGTATCCTTGTTAATATGCAAGCTTTTTAATACAAATTTATATTAAAAAATAAAATTAAGTTTTAAATACAATTTAAAAAAAAATGTTAACATATAAACAAACTTTCTTATTAGCATATTGGTGATCTTATTTATTTAATCAGTTTATAAGAGTGCCTTTTCCCCTGTAACTCTGGTACTTCTTCATTGTTCATATATTACTTTGAGGCACTTGCTCCTGGACCATATGGACTCCAATAGAGGAAGAGGTTTTGAATTATTTTTTAAAGTTCTTTAGATACATTGAATAGAATTTGGTTATTATAATGTTTATAATTATGTTTGGTTCTAAAGCTTGAACAACTATACTTACCTACTAGATATTTTTACCAGTGTTTGTAAGCTTGAATTGTAAAATAATATACAGGTAGTCCTCGACTTAAAAAGTTTGTTTAGTGACCATTCAAAGTTACAACAGCATTTAAAAAAGTGACTTGTGACCATTTTTCACACTTAACGACTTTTAGAGCATCTCCATGATCATGTGATTTACATTGGGATGCTTGACAACTGGTTCACATTTATGATGGCTACAGGGTCCCGGGATCATGTGATCCCCTTTTGCAACGTTCTGACAAGCAGGGTCAGTGGGGAAGCCAGATTCACTTAACATCCGTGTTACTAACTTAACAACTGCATTGATTCACTTAACAAATGTGGCAAGAAAAGCCGTAAAATGGGGCAAAACTCACTTAACAAATTTTTCACTTAACAACATAAATTTTGGGCTCAATTGTGTTGTATGCCAAGGACTACCTGTATTGATAAATTTGACAATTTATAATTATTTTAAATTATTTTTAATTTCTGATTATTTTGACGTTAAAGTGGTTTGATAAAAGCATTTATCTTCCAATATGAACATATATGGTACCTATAGGTTTGTCAGTTTTTTATGAAACAATATAATTTTCTGCGTTCAGCAATTTCTATATATAACAAGAATGTGAGATTTAAGGAACAGTTTTCAAATGAATCATGTAGAATTTGGGATTCTGATTGTTTTTTTAAACTGCCTTTTACATGAGCTTGAATGCCCTAAGCAAAGTATTGCCTAAAATCCCAACATAGGGCAGCAGGATGGATTATATATTGATTGTTTAGTCTATTAATATTAGATGGGACAATAGCTAGGTAATTCTGAGAGTTTAAGCCCATTCAATCATATCAACCTTTTTCCTTTTACTGCTGACCATTCTGGGCATAGCTGCTTTTTAAGTGAGTTTGATCGCATGATGTGGCTGAAATAAGTAAGGTAGAATTTTATGATCTTTGCCTTTCAGCAATATGTAAGGTTTTATATATGCTTATTTGTCACCTTTTCTGTCCAAGGAGTCTTATTAAATTTATACATAAATAAGACCTATGTATATTTGAGGTGTTTGCAAGAGGTGAACAACTCCAGTTAACAGATGACGACAAAAACAAATCATTGTATGTGATGTAACAAAATGCTCAGGTTTTGTTATAAAAAACATAGCTTGTTTATGTTGCAGGATGAAGTCCATGAAAGAGATCGATTCAGTGATTTTTTGTTAACAAAATTAAGAGATATGCTACAAAAACATTTGTCATTGAAACTCATACTTTCTAGTGCTGCTCTCGATGTGAACCTCTTTGTCAGATATTTTGGAGGCTGTCCAGTGATATACAGTAAGTTCAAATATTAAAAAGAATTATTAAATACAACTATTTAAGTATTAAATACAACTCAAGAAAATCTCTCTCTCTCTCTCCCTCTCTCTCTGTCTCTCTCTCTCTCTCTCTCTCTCTCTGTGTGTGTGTGTGTGTTATGGTATATACTAAACCTTGAAAACAAATGGTTGAATATCTGTGTGAAAGATACACATACATACAAATTTGCTGTTTTTCTCTTTGAAGCACTACCACTGAACTTGTATTTTTAGACTGTACTAGACAACCCATGACCTGTTGGGTCATCATTTCAGAGACATTTGCTTACCAAATTTCATCAACTCCTTCAACAGTGGCAGAACTTCTAACGTACCGATTCTTAAAAATTCAGGGAGATAATCAGAATTGTATCTGCCTTGAAAGTAACCCATGTTGAACTGTATAACACAATCCAACATAAGGATTCCATATTTTGGACACATGTTGTAAGTTAGCCCATTTGAGATATCTTGGTTCAAAAATTGTTGTCTTATGATGCACCATTTCATCCAGTTAAAGTTTACCCACAAACATGAAAATTTTAGTAATATATAGATTAGTATTTTGACATAGCATTGTTTTGGGAAAAAAGGAGGTATTCAGAATCCCTTAGCTGTCATATAATACAATTTTTATTAAATTCTGAGTATGTAATCATTACATATGCAGAAGTAAACACTATTTGGATATAAACTTAAATATTATTCTTAGTATATGTTAAGTGGGGCTTGAGTTAACAAGGCAAACATTTACCCTAATTTTTTTTTCAGTTGCTAAATCTAAAAGGATCATTGTGATAATGAAACAGCTTTGGCATTTGAGTTCCACAGGAGACAATTCTAGGATTTTGAGAAGAGAACACAGATACACACACACACACACACACACACACACACACATTTATGATGCCTTAAGAAGTAAAATAAGTAAGCATGGTTCTTCCATCATAAAACATGGCATATATTTATAGCATAGGCACACTTGTAGTAAAGTTTGAGGAAACATTGGTCATACTTCAGTTCTTGAGAAAGAACTTAGATGAAGGCAAACAAAGAAGGCAGAATTACAACAGAATTGATGGAGGAAGCAATTTGCCATAAAGGAAAAAAAAAGGCAAATTCCAGTGAACATGACTGAGACAGAGGAACAAGAAACAAGACTTTCTGCAGTGTGGGAATTTAGCAACAACTTTCAGGTCATCAGACAATAAATAGCCCAACAGGAGAATAACACCACTTAACCGGATAGAAGAGGTTGCCTCTCTGCTTGAATAGCAGGAGACTCATAACTGCTATTTGCAAGAGGATAAAGAACTGCAATAATTGATATCTTACTGTGAGGTTCAGAAACTAATGTCTGCTGGCCAGACTTACTGCCTTATTAAGAATTAGTTTTCATTTTCCAGGAACATGCACTACCGGTGTGCTGAAACAAGACTCCTCAAGCCTACTGATTTCTTGTTCATAAATAGGACAAATGTTATTACCAAGAATGAATGATCTCACCTCAGAATTTGAAATTTTAGGAAGGAAAAATATGAAGAGTTTGTAGTTCTGCAGGTGGTATTCCAGTCTATGAAAGAAAATTTGGAAGGAAAAAAATACTGCAAGTGAAATGACTGGCTATTGAAAATGTGCCAACAGAAGATTTATTGATGATTGATTGATTGTACTATGATTTGCATTATTTGTGTGCTAGCATAAGGGGGGGTTGCACTTCACAAAGGTAGGAATAATCATTAGGAGAGTCTTAAATTATTTTGTGGGTACTGGACCCAGAGTCCCAGAAATCAGGTGCAGGTTTATACAATTAAACCAAACTGCAGCTAACCAGATGTATGTAATTAAACTGGAGCATATTAAAATTATTAAATGAAGATCAATAGAACGATACTTAAGTAAAGCATGTTACCCCTACCTATGTATTAGTGCTTAGCTCATTGAGAATGACAAAGCAAACAGAACAGAAAGGCATATTAACAAGTGTAGCAGCAATAGGGACTACCTACTAAAGTTCACCTCTATACTAATAGCTAACTAATCAAATCAGTATAATAAGCATGATATATCCTTTGACTTAGTTAATTAATATTATCATTGAAGTCTGCTTCACTTGGTCATTTTATTGTGCTTTGTGAATATGCAAAAAAGCTAGAACAGTGGTTCTCAACCTTTCTAATGCCGCGACCCCATAATACAGTTCCCCATGTTGTGGTGACTCCCAACAACTTATACATCATTGGGTGCCAGGGGGGTGGCCAAAGAAAAGGGAAAAATGGCGGACAGCCTTGTTTGGCGACCCCCGTGAAATGGTCGTTCGACCCCAATTGGGGTCCCGACCCACAGATTGAGAACCACTGAGCTAGAAGATTTTGGGTTCAAATGCATACACCAATCAGAAGATTTTAAAGATTAATATACAAATGAAAACCAGGACTTCCTCTTGGGATTGTTGGATTAACAGCTGGAAAAAAGTAATGGAACTTTGTTTTTATATATGATAACTACAACTATTATTGTATGCATAAAGATAGAAAGATCTGGCAATACCTACAATGGTGGAATGGTTGAAGATGATAGAACTTGTTGAAATGGCCAAATTAACCTCTTTGATTAGAGAAAATGCAATATCTATGTTTATTACTTACTGGAAATCCCTAATGGACTTTTTACATAAAACAAAAAAAAATAGACTTATTGATCTATGGTTCTGATGATTAGATAAGGATATATGGAAAGAAGAGCGTCTTTCTATAATCTATCTAAGAAGGAAAGAAGTAAATCTACAGTTGTACTTAACTGCTATAAAGAAGATCAGAAGCCAAATCTTTATATCTTGTCTTTTCTATTTTTCTTCTACTTTTCTTTTTGCACTTTAACTTTATTTTTTATTTCTTCCTTTTTCTTTTCTCCTTTTTCTTGTATATTAATTTTTATTCTTGTTTTTAAAACTTGCAATAAAACTATATTTAAAAAAGATACATGTGTTCTCTAAAAACACATGTGTTTGTTACAATTCCTGATTGGTTGTTCAGAATGAACTCTGGGAATTTATAATAATCTTTGTGTTTTCAGTTCCAGGAAGACCCTTTGAAGTAAAGGAAATGTTTTTAGAAGATATATTAAGAAGTACAGGCTATACAAATAAAGAGATGATCAAATACAAGAAGGAAAAACAACGAGGTGAGTATCTAGTTTTGTAGTGGTTGGAAAATTAATGTTTTAATTGATACAAAAATTGCAAAATGGGAAGGGAAGAGGCTGTAAAATACAGTGGAAAAATCCTAACATAGTAAAAGCTATGGATCTAATCTTGACTTTTTTCTTTATGTAAAACATAAATATGCTACCTAGAAGAAAAACAGCAGACAACTTTGACTGAATGGTATTCTGCGCAAGATAATAGCAAACCTGAATTGCAACGACAGAGGGCAGTACCAAATGTAACTGAAGAATATGAACTGCTGGATGATGGGGGTGACACTGTCTTCAGTCAATTGGTATGCACTACTCTAAGATCTTTGATATTTTATATTAGATTTTACCTTGGATAGGAATGATTATGGTTATAAGCTCAGGCTTAAGTTCTGGTTGATATATCTGCTTCACAAATATCTTCATACGCATGTCCATGTTTCCAACTCTACAAAAAAATTAGAAGACAATGAAAGTCCAAACTTGCTACAACTTCCATATTGTATTATTTTGTGCTTTTCAATTTTTGCATAAAATTTTCATGATTTTATCATTCTTTTAATTGAGTTCATGCATTATTTACTTTGTATCATGTAAAATTGAATTTGATGTATATAAATGAGGAAGCAGCTTATATTGGCAGAATCAAGTACATGGATTTCTCCCAATTTTCCCGTAATAACATAATACACTAATTTCGGCTGGTGGGGTCCAGAACAAGAGCCTTTTCAGTTATGGCTCCCATCTACTGGAACATTGTGTTCTCCCAGATGAAATCTGTGTTCACCCTTTGGCCTTCCAAAAGTGATCTTGGCCCCAGTGGGGATGAGGCATTTTGGAGGTGATTAACGGATTAGATAACATCCCACCTTTCCCCCCCCCATGCATTTTGCTCTTTCCCTCTCTATCCCAGTCAATTTTATTTTAAGTGAAATTTAAATTTTAAATGTAAGATCCCTATTTATAGTTTTAATGTTTTATATTGCATTTTTTTAAACTTTTTGCCAGTTTCAGGACATATAATGAAATGATTTTTTAAAAAGTTTTTCAAGGATTTCCAAGTGATGATAAAGTGTGTTTTCCAAGTGACGATAAAGTGTGTTCTCATTTGCAGGCTGAAAAAGATGTTAATTGTCTTGAACCTTGGTTAATTAAAGAAATGGATGCTTGTCTTTCTGATATTTGGTTACATAAGGACATTGATGCTTTTGCACAAGTGTTCCATCTTATTTTAACTGAAAATGTCAGTGGTAAGTTCACAATAATTAACTTTTTTTACTGAATGACGTACTGAAATTCCCAAAGAGGCAACTGGACTGAGATACCGTATCATAAATGGCCATGCTATTTACAGAATAATAATCCAGCTTTGGTTTCTTAGAAGTCTGAATAATAATTTTGAAATGATGAATGATTCCTGAATAAATCAGTTATGTGACTCATGGATCATCACCATTTTTTCCAGTGTCTGAATTTTCTCAAACAAGCTTGGTCTCGAACAAGCTGACTAGTAAACGTTTATAGAATTGTACATAACAGCCAAAATAATCAATACTTAGGCAATTCACGTTTTAATGCTTTGTAACAATAAGAATATTTTGACAATATTGGAATAATAGTTAAAAGTTTGAGCAGTTCATAAATAATATTTCTAAAACTTATTTCCCATCTTTTCTCGCCCTTTCCCTAGTTGATTACAGGCATGGTGAAACAAGTGCAACAACATTAATGGTAGCTTCTGGAAGAGGTTTCTTGAATCAAGTGGAACAGCTGATTGGTATGGGAGCAAATGTCCATATCAAATCATCCAATGGCTGGTAAAAATACCATTTTTTTCATTGTTTTCTCTAGGGAATATATGTGATTTAAGATGGGGGAAGGGAGGAAAGAGCTTAATTCTAGTTTTTGATGAATATTTCTGTTACTGATCATGCTTTAATATGTGGTATCCAACAAAGCTATGGCAAATCTGGACAGCATACTAAAAAGCAGAGACATCACCCTGCCAACAAAAGTACATATAGTCAAAGCCATGGTTTTCCCAATTGCAATGTATGGCTGTGAAAGTTGGACCATAAGAAAGGCTGAGTGCAAAAGAATTGAGGCCTTTGAACTATCGTGCTGGAGAAGACTCCTGCGAGTCCCCTGAACTGCAAGGCGATCAAACCGGTCAGTCCTAGAGGAGATCACCCCTGACTGCTTTTTAGAAGGCCAGATCCTGAAGTTGAAACTCAAGTACTTTGGCCACCTAATGAGAAGGAAGGACTCACTGGAGAAGAGCCTAATGCTGGGAAAGATTGAGGGCAATAGAAGAATGGGACGACAGAGAATGAGGTGGCTGGATGGAGTCACTGAAGCAGTAGGCATGAGCTTAAATGGACTCCAGAAGATGGTAGAGGATAGGAAGGCCTGGAGAAACATTGTCCATGGGGTTGCAATGAGTCGGACACGACTTCGCAACTAACAACAACAACAACAATCCAACAATGAAAAAAATAACTCAGAAATAAACCTGCCACAGAATATAGCTCATCTTGGAAACCATTCTTGAATTATAATTCTATATATAATCCTCTATATAGATGAATTTGTACCCTATCTGAAATTTAGGTTCAATTACTATCTTGATCAATACACAGGAGAAAAGCCAGGTCTTCTAGGTTCTATGAATAGTTGATATAAAACTTGTGGGGATGGAGTGTGGGGGAGGGGAGCACATTCCAAAGGGCAGATACAATAATAAAGAAGATGCATTAGATAGTAAAACCTCAGTGAGGGGAATCTGGAACTTCCCCATTCAGTGCAGCCTTGTGAGGCTGGTAGAAATAGCTGTAGATAAGCAGTCCTGCAAATAATTAAACATATGACAACAGAGAAAAGTAATTTCATATACTATAGATTACTTGTAGTAGTAGCAGCGAGAGATCCTAAGTACTCTGCAGTAGTTAAAGATGCAACCTTAGAGGTTCAAATATTATTAAGAAGCTCTTTTCCTACTATTGGGTAGCTCATTAAATAATATCAGAGTAATAAAACAAGATTACAGATCAGACTTGTTCAAATTCTTTAAAATAAATGTTTTGCAGTACAAAGGAGCATGTAGAAAGCACATTTCTTGCAACTACTAAAGCAGTTGTGTTTTTTCTAGGCTTATATAGCTGTTTTCTAAGCTGTTTGCTGCTGTTTGCATGGTTTACATATCATTGTGAATCATTTGTTTGAAAAAATCTTCATAGACCTATTGCAAATACCATAATGAATATAACTAGAGAATATTGGGAACATTCCATTGTTGTGCATAAACCAAACATTTTATTAAATACTTTTACAGGACAGCTTTGGATTGGGCTAAACACTTTGGGCAGACAGAAGTAATTGACCTGCTGGAATCCTATTGGTAATGTATTTTCTTTACTTAACATAAATCTATCCAGGCCTTTGGAATACAGTTAGTCCTCAAGTTAGAGTCACAGTCAAACTCAAAATTTCCATTGCTAAGCAAGCAGTTGATAAGTGAGTGAGCCCCTTTTTATGACCTTTTTTGCCATGGTTACTAAATCACTGCAGTTATTAAGTGAGTCATGTGGTCATTAAGCAAATCTAGCTTCCCCCATTACTCTGCTTATCAGAAGCCATCTGGGAAAATTACAAATGTTAATCGCATGACCCTGGGACAGTACAACTGTCATAAATACATGTCAGTTGCTAAGCGCCCAAATTTTGATCAAATAACCATGGAGATGTTGCAATAGTCGTAAGTGTGAAAACTGGTCATAAGTCGCTTTTTCCAATGCCGTTGTAACTTCAAACAGTCACTAACCAAATGGTTGTAAGTCAAGGACTATCTGTATTTCTTGAAGCAGATTAAGCTTTTTCAAGTAGGAAATTTCATGATAAAATGAAATAGGAAAAAGAGTTACTTAATGATACTTGGAAAAACTCTTAATGTTTAATAAAAGTACTAAATATTTTTAGGATCATTCCCCAAGCTATTTTTATTGCACACATTGCACTTTGCAGTTTATTTTCTTCTTGATGTATATGTTAATTCCAGGTTTAAAGCCAAGCTACCTCTAAAACAAGGCATTAATGGTCCTTGCAAAATTAGCAAATGATTTGTTTCTGTAATTTAGCCTGTATTTAAAAGATATGAAATAGGATGAACTAGAACATTAGTGAACAGCAGTTGTAACACAGTATGGGAAGAGGTTTAAACAATGAGGTAATTTAATATTAAACATATTTTTTTAGTGTTGACCTCTATTAAATATATCCAGAGTGGTGGTTATATTTTATTTCACGTGCAGAATAGACCATATGAGTTGTTCTATCAGAACATTCTGAGTTAGCTTTTCGATTCCGTATTCTCATCTTTGAGCTATAGAAACTTGGAAGAGGCAAGATGGGGGGCATATAAGCTAATAAATAAAAGCTTAATCCCCTTGCCACTAGAGTAAATACATTGATAGTTCATACTGAAAGTGTTAACTGTATTGCTTTCTAGGACAGGCGTCCCCAACCCCTGGTCCGTGGACCAGTACCGGGCCACGGCAAGCCAGTAACCGGTCTGCACAAACAAGCAAAGCCTCATCTGTGGGATGCGGGCAGCACACAAAACCATGCCCTTCCAGTCTGTGGAAAAACCTGTCTCCACGGAACCGGTCCCTGGTGCCCAAAAGGTTTGGGGACCTCTGTTCTAGGAGATTAGTTTTTCAATGTTTTCATTGAGTAAATTGAACAAATAAAGCATGTGAGTAAGTTTATGGATTAATTGAAGTTAATTTTATAAACCTATTCTGTTCAGGTAAATTCAGTGGATTATTAACCAAGAAAGAATTACTATGAACACTGGCTCTTTAGGACTTCGAGAGTGAAAAGGAAAAAGACAAAAATCCTTGGATTAACTAATGTCTTTGTTGAATCAATGCCCTTGTATTCTTAGAAAGATTTCTTTGTAGTTTCCAAATATTTGTAAAATTGAAAACAAAATCATTTGGGACTTCTGGTTTTTTATTTTTAGGTTTAACACCTATTTCATCAGTGTTATCTTACCTTATTTATCTCTGCTATATATTTCAGTGCCTCATTAGAGTCTGGTAATCTAGATGAAAGTTCCTTAGTCCATGCTAATGCTGGTGAAATGAATATAGAAGATCGAGAACTCCTGAAAGCTTATCACTACAGTTTTGATGATGAAAAAGTAGATCTTGACCTGATAATGCACCTTCTGTATAACATCTGCCATAGCTGTGATGCAGGTAATGTCCATTTAGATATATCCCGCTTTAATGTATTATTTCATTCGTTATTGCATATCAAGCTATATTTGTTTGTTATTAATTTAAATTGTTTTTGCTAAATCCTAATCACTTAGTATGACTAGAAATTAAAAAATATATACGATCCTAACATTATAAACTCTGAAAGACCCGAGTCACTGAAGAATGGATTATTTATACTCCAGCATGTATCCCAAGGCCAGCATATATACAGAGATAGAGATTGACAGACCTATTGTCTCTTTTTTCTTGCAATTTAATAATGAATTATGAGCAAGGCCTAAATGCATACAAATGAAGTTGAGATTTGTTTCACATTCAGTTACATAGGCAAGAGAGCAATAAGGCTTGGTTTACTTTTATTTCTGTTGTAGCACATTCACATTCAGGAATGATTTGATCTAGCTGATAATAGAAAAACCCTTTAAGAAGTGTTCGAATTCTCAAACTAAAGACAGTATACATAATTCTACAGAGTTCTGAAGCTATTTATTAATTGTGAGAAATATGAGTGCAACAATAATTAAAATTGCTTAGGTTCATCTTTCTATAGCATTTGAACTTTGTTTTACAGGTGCAGTTTTAATTTTTCTTCCTGGATATGATGAGATAGTTGGATTGAGAGATCGCATACTCTTTGATGACAAAAGATTTGCAGATAATGCTCATAGGTAAAAGTTTATATATATTTATTTTGAAGGGCTTTTTGTTTTACTTTCAGAACTGCAATATTTTTGGTATTCCATTCTGATTTTTTGCTATCAGATTCCAGGTATTTATGCTGCACTCAAATATGCAGACATCTGACCAGAAAAAGGTTCTTAAGACTTCTCCTCTAGGCATCCGCAAAATAGCAAGTATCAAATGACTTTAGTTATTTAATGATTGTTTCCACTTTAACATTAAGCTGTCATTACAAGGTTGCTGTTTTTGTTTCTGCAGATACTTTCTACAAATATTGCAGAAACCAGTATCACAGTAAATGATGTTGTTTTTGTGATTGACTCGGGAAAAATGAAAGAGGTATGCTATCTTTAATGTAATGGGCTTTTTATAATATAATGTATATTTTATTTTAAAATTTATTTTGTAGAAAATTTAATTAAAGAAAATTATGTTGACATTACTTTAGTAAAATAAAAATAATTATTATAACATACACATATACATCATATATTGTTATATGACTTAATTACTAATTTAGTGTTCATTTTTGTATCATTAACTGCCAAATATTGGAGGAGTATAAATTAATTAATAAATAAATATTGATATTTTATAACAGATTTTTCTTAACTTTCTAGAAGTCCTTTGATGCACTGAATTGTGTAACTATGCTTAAGATGGTGTGGATTTCTAAAGCAAGTGCTGTTCAGAGGAAGGGCAGGTAATAAAAATGTAAAAAAATATTTTTAGAGGCTTGCGTTAGGGATGTTCAGCATTTTAAGATACATCATTAAAAAAAAGAAATCTTTTTCCAGACCTAGCAAGAAACCCTCACAGATATATAAAATTAAAAGTGGGAAGAAAATTTTCACTTAGGATCGAAAATTTAATGAATGAATTTTTAGTCTGCTTTGATAATTTATTCATATATTTTTTAATGTTTTAATTCAGCTTAAATAATTTTTTACTTCTAAGGGCAGGACGTTGTCGACCTGGAATTTGTTTTCGACTTTTCAGTAAATTAAGATTTCAAAATATGTTGGAATTTCAGACTCCTGAACTTCTAAGAATGCCTTTGCAAGTGGGTAATTTTTATTCTCTTGTTAAGCCCTTTTTAATACTGTGCTTGAGTTAAGCTGTGGTTTATTTTAACTATGATTTGTTGAATCACCTGTGAGAATGTGGCTCAAATTAACCTTAGTTTCTGTTACTTTTTGATATTTTTAGCAATTAAGTTCAAGAATTTGTTTCCAGATCCAAGAAATAGCCTGAGGAGAAAAGAAAGTATGAAGGTTCAGATAGCCTATCAAAATATCTGTATGTTTATGTATATATGTATAGGTTTACAAGACTGAGTGTGGCTTGTCCAACAAACCTTAAATAGACTCTGGTTGATTGCTATGTACAACAAATATGCAACAATATATGGAAAGCTGTTTTGGAGGCTTTGTATGGAAATCCTTGAAACCTTTTGAATATTAAAATAACAGTACTTTTCAATTGTGCTAAATGCTTAATGGGAACTAGATTTTTATGAGATGTTGAATAAATTAGATATCCTGCATCTCTGCCTCACTGTCTCTTGAACAAGAGTTTTCTTAATATGCACTGTAAAATCTGATGATAGTCACTGTTGTGGGTTTTCTTTTCATACCTACATATACAACATTGCTTTGAATAATCCTAAAGATTCAAGTAATACATTTTTTCTGTACTGGAAAATATTTGTTGACTAGAATAAAAATTTTAAATTATTGAAATCTCCCAGATTTTCAGCAATGAAAAGCTTGAAATTTTGCCTGACAATATCTGACACCTTATGTGATTTCAGGATTTCAAAAAGTATCAAAAATGTAAGGCACTGTAGGCAGTTACATTGCCAGTTTCTGCTTCAGAATGTCAAAAAAATCTAATATTTCTCTTAGATTTCCCTTTTTATAACATTTTAAATAAATAATCAGAATAGAGCTGAAAGGGACCATGGAAGTCTTCTAGTCCAGCCCCCTCCTGCTCAAGCAGGAGTCCCTATATCATTTTAGATCAGTGGCTGTCCAGTCTCTTCTTAAAAACCTCGAATGATGAAGACATACAACGTCTGAATATATGCAGTTGAATGAAAAACCTAGGCATGCTTATTTATCAAACCAATTGAGTTTGCTAGGCAGTTTGATGTTGTTGTTGCATTCAGTAACCATTTCCCAAAAATAATATTTGAATTTATATTATCTAATTATTCCTAAATGACAGAAGACAGATGTGGCTTGTGCAATGGCTTATTTAATCATCTGGTAACCATCATTAATTTTTAAGAAACATCACTTGAACTGCAAGATGAGCGGCAAAGAAATTTGATAAATAAAAAATAAAATAAAATATATTTATGATAAATGAAAGATTTATAGATGTTGAAGTGAACTGCAAGATTGTAGTCTAATGTTTTGGAAGATGTTTTCAACCAGGCTAGTTTTCTTGTCTGTCTGTCTGTCTGCCTGTCTATTTACCTACCTACCAGTCATATTTTTGAACCAACATCTCCCTCAGAGAAGAACGTAAGTTGCTACAGTGGATAGAAGAATTGATAAAAATAAACACTGTTCCATCACTGACATCTAAGTAGACATATATAAGATTGCACTGTGAATGAAGTCATGATCTGAAAAACATATCTTTATATTATAGGAGCTTTGTTTACATACAAAATTGCTAGCTCCCATCAATTGTCCAATTGCTGACTTCTTAATGAAAGCTCCAGAGCCACCTCCTGCTTTAATTGTGCGAAATGCTGTGCAGATACTTAAGGTGAGTAAATAGAACGCGACTGAATTTTTAACTAATTTGAATTTGAACCTTAATTATGGCCCAGAAAAAATTTAGATTATGCACGTCTGTCTATAACATTGCTTATAATTTGTTTTAATAGACCATAGATGCTATGGACACCTGGGAAGATTTAACAGAACTTGGCTATCATCTGGCTGACTTACCTGTAGAGCCCCATCTTGGGAAAATGGTGCTTTGCGCTGTGGTTCTGAAGTGCCTGGATCCTATTCTGACAATTGCTTGCACACTTGCGTATCGGGATCCTTTTGTGCTACCCACACAGGCTTCTCAAAAACGTGCAGCCATGCTGTGTAGAAAACGATTTACTGCGGGAACATTTAGTGACCATATGGCTCTTCTTCGGGCTTTCCAGGTATTATATGTTTATTTACTAAAAGGACATTTAACAATTCATATTTGATTATATGAAACAGATGAGCTATTTTAGCTAGATCAAATTATTTTGAAAAGTTACCTTAGGAATAATATAATTAGGGCAGAGCTCTTGAAAATCTAATTTATATTGTTGTTAGTTTCTGTCTCCTTTTTGCTGCTGCCAGCTAGCCTCTGCTTTCCATCTGCTACTTGTTTCCTTTTTTCATTGTTGCCAGCTGTCAAAAGACAATAGTGTTATGTTGATTCTATGTGTATTTTCTGCTTTTTCTTTATCACTTTCAAGACTTTCATTTTTAACCTGTGTTAAAAGTGAGAACCTCAGCAGCTTGCAGTTCTGGCTCCTGTAATGCTGTAATATGGTTAAATTGATTGCTGAAACTTTTAAAATTTCCTTAAAACTTGATAAAAATATGCATCTTATTTTTTAATTTTTTAAATCACATATTAGTTGAAATAATAATAGAAAAACAGTTCTAAAGATTATGCTGTGGGAAAAAGACATCTCTTGTGTATAAAAAAAGCATTGTATAGAGCTGTCCTTTGGTTTCTTTGGTGTAAGAAGAAGTTAATGGAGGGCTCAAGATGATTGTTTGATTTGAAAAGTATTCAAGAGCAATGAAGAGTGAAGTGCTCTCTTCATTGCTGTGTGGGAAATTGTTTCTATCAGTTTTATTTTCCAAATCTACTCAGTGGCTGTAGGAACAATAGGGACTTTTGGTGATCTCTCTGTCTCTCAACTGTTATGACTTTCTTGCCCTTAAGGGGACACAATTTTGGAAGACTTCTGCAACCCCTAAGAAATTGCCTCAGAGACAGTGCAGTGGTTTTTGCCTTTCGAATAGTGGATTCATTCATCTAATCTTCTGCACAAAGAGCCCGTAGAGCCAATATAGATAGATATTAGTTGTCTTTGATTGTAAGTTTGAGAGATGGGAAGACATACATTAATTTTTGGTAATCTAGAAAGGGGTTAGGTTTGGAAAGGCTACTGTAGACGTATTATGGATGTGTCTATCTCTATCTGTCTGTCTGCCTATCTGTGTGTCTGTCTATCATCTGTTCTAAGCATTTTAAACCAACATCTTTGGTAGGCATGGCAGAAAGCACGCAGTGATGGCTGGGAAAGAGCTTTTTGTGAGAAGAACTTCCTTTCTCAGGCAACCATGGAAATTATCATAGGAATGAGAACACAGTTGCTTGGGCAGCTGAGAGCCTCAGGTACAAATATATATATTCATAATAATCATAAATAATAAAGAAAGCCATCTCTTGGTTCCATATGTCGAAAGCTACAACTTTCCCTACTGTGTTTGGTTTGCTATGTTTGAAAGAATAAGCTGCTGTCATTTCTTCAAGCCATACGCTATTTTCCTAATACAAAAAGTAAAGGATATTAGTAGTTATATGTAGATTAATAGTCACGTGGAAAATAATAAAAATGTAGTTCTTTACAAAAATCTATATGTTATAATTTAAGTTAATTTATAAAGTTGAATCATTATTGTATCTAGAATAGTGTAAATTATTAATTGATGCTATTTTTCCTTTGATTCATTCTTCTAATTTCAGTTAAATATTAAAATAGGGAAACCTGTTTGCGTGTTGGAATGAATTCCATTTTTGTGTAATTTTCTGAACATCTGTTAGAAAGAAACTTTCAGAGGTTGCTTTTGTTCATTGTTTTAAGGAACAATATTTCCACACTGCACTGTCATAAGTATCTCTGATTGGATTAGGAACACCATTGTATAACTGCTAATGGTGAAAAAGTGTTTTACCGAAGGTTCAGAATTAACATAAATTTATATATCTGTCTGGCTTTGACAATCTGTATGATATTAAAATACAAAAAAACAAAACAAAAAAAAACAAGTACAAATCAACCAGATAAAGTGGAGGGCAAATCCTCTACTATCTGTTTTTCAGTAGAATTCATCTATGCTAAATGTACAGTTAATATATCTTAAAAATGAAGTGAGAGTTAAGAAACTATCCAGGCTAACAGTTAAATACAAGAAATAAAGTTGTTTTTTAAATAATTAACTAGTGATTTCTTTCTTTCCCAGGTTTTGTTAGAGCCAGAGGTGGTGGTGATATAAGGGATGTGAACACAAACTCAGAAAATTGGGCTGTAGTTAAAGGAGCCTTAGTAGCTGGAATGTATCCAAATATTGTTCATGTTGACAGAGAGAATGTAATTTTGACTGGGCCAAAAGAGAAAAAAGTCCGTTTTCATCCTACATCTGTTCTTAGCCAACCCCAGTATAAAAAGGTGAGATAAAAGTATTAGGGTTGCAGTCCTGGCCCATGGAAAGAAAGAAAGAATTGAGATAGCCTTCAAAGCACTTACTGTGGGCCTTCTAAAGTGTGTCCTTAGTTTAACGCTTGGCTCATGCATCTTTTTCAAGTGCGTTGCACACCTTCCTATTCAGGTTTGGAGGAAAAAGCAACTCACTCCCCCAAATATTTGGGATACCTTTTCCTATGAGGATTTTTTGCATAATTTACCAGGCTTTCAAACATTTAACTAAATATGAAAAGCGAAAATTAGTTTCCTAACTGAACAACTTAGAGGGAGATTATACAGTTCAACTTTTGATTAATTTCTATTTAGAGGACAAGTGAAAAGATAAAAGTCTTTCTAAAATCGAGTGTGATTTCATAGACACATCCATGAATTTTCTTAGCAGCAGTACATAAATTGTTTGCCAACAGGTCTTTTGGGACTTCTTTCACCTTTCCCATCCAGCCTAGACCTTTTGTTTTTCTTGAAAGTCTCCCACCTAAGAATTAAGCAGGTCTGAATCTGCTTAGCTGATGGAAGATTAAATAAAGACATATCATATCAAGTTACAAATTACATGAATAAACTCTATGTATATCATCTTTTATACTTGGCAAATATATGTGAAATAGTATTGTATTTCGCTACACACATGCATATACACAGAGATATATTTAATATTCATATTTTTTATGAATCATAGATTTGTTAAATTTGATATTTAACTGAATTTTTTGCTATAGGATATTCAGGTCTAGAATACAAATAGATAGTTTGGCTTTCAGAAAACTAAGAGTGACTTATATGGAGCTATTGAAATCTCCTGCCTAAAGTTTTAACAAAACTCTACACCTGCTTACATTAATAATCTGATAACATTAAGTGATCCCAATTCTTTTCTTGTTAATTTATGTAACATAGCTTAAAGTTAATATTTTTAAATTGCCTAATTTATTGTGCTGAACAAACCATTTTGCTGAACTGCTAACAGATTCCTCCTGCAAATGGCCAAGTAGCAGCTATTCAGGCACTTCCCACAGACTGGCTTATATATGATGAAATGACAAGAGCCCACCGAATAGCCAATATCAGGTGCTGCTCAGTTGTGACTCCAGTCACAGTGGCCCTCTTCTGTGGATCAGCTAGGTTGCCAAGTAATGCTTTACAGGAGCCTTCTTCCTTCCGAGGTAGGGTATTCATATTCCTGTAATTTATATTTAAAAAAATCCTTGACAGTTGATGTTTAAACTACTGGATCAAAATATATAAGGGATTATTTTTGTTCCATATATTATATAATGTAAATCTAAACATGATTTTTAAAGGGTTGGATGAAAGAAAAATGGATGGTCAGCGATTGATGACGTGGTGGGGAGAATGGTGCAGGAGCCGGTGGGATGGGAAGCAGGCCCAAAGCCTGCAGGGGACCCAATGGAACAAGATTGGGGGGGGGGAGATAGGCTGGAAATTGCTACAGTGTCCCTGTAATTGGTCATAGGGACGAATCAGCCTGAATTTTGTGCATGTGACTGAGGGGGCAATGCAGCAGCCGTAACTTCAAAACTGAGTTATAAGTAGCTGTTGGGGGGAGTTGTCATACTTTTGAATGATTGCTAAGCAACTGGATGTAAATAGAGGACTATTTGTAGTATGAACTATACTGTATTACTATTGATTAGGAAATAATGCCAGAATAAAATCAAGATATATAATTACTAGATAAATTGAATAGTCTTGCACATGGCAAGTTGAGTTTATTGTGTTTGAAAAATTTGGTCTCCATACATGAAAGATCATAGTGTGAACAACCTTAATTTTATATTTCTTTATTTGTCTGTGCGTGTGTACATGCATATACAATTGGATTTCATTTCAAATCATAGAAAATATGATTGCAAGTATAATATTTATATATTATTGAACTAACTTATTGTTAATAACAATTATACAGGTCTAAATTTCTAATATTTTCTGACAGTATGTTCTTTAAAAAATGTGTCAAGTCTCTATATAATATATCATAATTGTTGTAATTAAGTAAACTAATTTTCAAAGTAAATGAATTTGATTATATATACATATTGCATAATATACGGATTCCAGAAATGTTTTCTGTTTCCATGAAAAACAATGGTTCATTCTTTGTATTTTAGAGAAATTGAATATTTACTTTAGTGAGTTCTTAGTACAGATTAATCATTAAAATGTCAAATTATTTATTGAAATATTATTTACAAATGACTAATACATAAGATCTCTGTTTTCCAATATAGTTGATGGTGTCCCTAACGATAGCAGTGATAGTGAAATGGAGGATCGAACAACTGCAAACTTGGCTGCTTTAAAATTAGATGAGTGGCTCAATTTCAAATTAGACCCAGAGGTAACTGACTGCTAAAAAAAAACATTTAATACAGGTTTTTCCCCCAAAAGAAATATTTGCTTAAAGGCTTGTAAGATGAGGATTTCAAATGTAGATCCATGAAAGGAAAAAAAAAAAATCTGTACTGCTATATTTCCTTAAATTCATGGAACTACTATAAGTATTGTAGTATCTTGCATTTATCTGTGTCACTGTGTCTGGAATTCAGTTGCTGAAAAAAAAATGTGCAATTTTGAAAATAAAAAATTGAAAAATTTGAGTAAATATGGAAGGTTTGAGGATTTATTTTTTAAAAAAGGATGATATAGAGAGCATACCGTATATTCCGGCGTATAAGGCGACCTGGCGTATAAGACGACCCCTGTCTTCGGCGCCGAGTTGCATGACTAGAAAGTCATCTTATACGCCGGAAACTACCGTTATTTTCAGCATATAAGATGACCCTCGACTTCGGCACCAATTTTAAAGCTTGCGAAAGTCGTCTTATACGCCAGAAAGTACGGTATATATAAATATCTTTTTCCAGCACAAATATGAATTCCATAAAATTGATTGTCAGTAGGTTCAGATAATTCATAATAATTCATAATGAACATGACATTTTCTTTCCACACAATGTGGCAATAGCCATTGGCATACAAAGAGAATAGGTTAAAAGAGAGTAGGTTAAATCTTCAAAGAGATTATCAATCAAGAGTTGATTGCTCTGACCTCTAAGTGGAATTCCTGCCCTTCATCAGTATGCAATTCATATTAGACAATAATGTTGATGGTGTTAATATAAGGTTTCTTTTCTTTCTTATTTTGGTTGTGTACAAAAATTAAAATTGAGACCATTCCCAGTTATCTTCTAGCTATCCATTCAAGGTCATGTTTACTTTCAGGTCTTTTGCATTGTCCCTATATTTGAGGATGTTCAAGATTGGCTGTAGATTTGCAAATGTTCATGTTTATATATGTACATGAAGAAAAAATTGCAGCATAAATATCTATTTTGTGGCATAAGTATGGAATGCAAAAATATAGTATGTTTATGTCTCATATTACAGATCTTGTATTTTGTCATTCAGTTCAGTTAATAGTATTGGAGCTGTAGAAAGTTCAGTTTATAAAGTTATTTGTATCTGAATTGTCATGTTTCAAAAAAGCCTCAAAGTCATGTGTGTTAAAATAAAAGTTGTTTTTTTTTAAACAGGCTGCTAGCCTCCTCTTGCAGTTAAGACAAAAATGGCATAGTTTATTTTTGCGACGCATGAGAGCTCCTTCAAAGCCATGGTCTCAAGTTGATGAAGCAACAATACGAGCAATCATTGCTGTTTTGAGCACTGAAGAACAATCTGCAGGTCTGCAGCAGCCCTCAGGAATTGGGCAAAGACCAAGACCTATGTCATCTGAAGAACTTCCCTTAGCATCTTCTTGGAGATCAAACACCAGTCGAAAAAGCTCAGGAGAATCAGAGTTTGCAGATGATGCTTTTAATTCAGAAAGGTTAATAACTCAAATTTTATTCATGGAGAAACCCATTTTTTTTAAAGAGTCCAATAACAAATGGGGAAGTAGTTTTCAGTTTTTTCTTTTAGCAATGGCAGGACTACTGAAGCAATTTGCTGTTCAGCTAGTTGGGTCACCTCATGTTATGTATTATTTCAGGAAGATGTATACCTGTTTCTTGGTACTAGATAACTTATGTCATTTGTGGAAGTGAATTAAGGCATCTGTTGCTGTTTACTCCTCTGAAAAAAATGGATACTCCTGTAGTTGAATGAGATACATAGATAGATGGATGGATGGATGATGAACAGACATTTCACTACTACCTATATCTGTTTCTTTTGTTACTTTGTTTTCATTAATTAAAATCTTGAAAACCTGTTAAAGTGCAGTTTAGTTTTCTTAGGACCATATCAAAATTATTTTCCTAAAACATAAGCTTTAACAAAGAGTCAGATACTACATAAACTCTTTCACTTCAAAATCAAATACATAGGAAATAAAGGAATGCTTTATGAAAGATGCGAGTATAATTTGAACTTGGTTATAACATCATCTCTCAAAACTATTCTCCAGTTGTTTCTGCTAAAAATCCTAGGGTACATTTGACAGTGATTAAGCTTCAGGTCCTCTCAAGTATTGTGGTTTTGTGGGACTGATGAAAATGTGCCTTCTCTGTCATTGCCCCAAAGAGCAACCTCCAAAGAAACATCTAGTGCTCGTTCTGGGATTCTAGAAGGCCTTTAAGACCTCTGTTACCAGGCCTAGGAGTAGCATATTTGGGGAGTCCCTGCCATGCTTTTGTTGTTACTGTTATTTTTAGTCCCCTGCTTCCATATCTTGTTTTATGCTTTTAATCTTTAATTGTATATTTGGATATTGTAAGCTACCCAAAATCTTTTTGGAGTAGGCAGTCATAATGATGACAGTCATGATAATACCAGAAATTTACTTAGATCTTTACCTTTTCTCTTTCAGAAATACTCCCAAAGCAACTTTAAGCTATGATATAAACAAAGAGCAGAACAATACAATATTAAGGTAATGTTTCTCTTATAACACTTCTTTTACATCTTTCATTTACAGTGGTATCAGTATTGCTATTTTTCCAGGAAATTAAGGTAACTTTGCAGGAAGTCCAAGGATACCTTTAGGATATCTCAGACTTTGACGATATTAGGTAATAGTAAGTACTACATCAATTTCTTCCCATTCCCAAATCTTAAACCTAGCTTCATAATGACAGATCTCAGAAATACCTTGGAAACAGTAAAGTATTTCTATTCTTCTGAGCTGTTTACCTAACACCAGGTATGGTTATGCCACATAATTTATGCTATGCTACAATGAGCAGATTGTCTTGAGGTGCATATAAAATGTGTTTAGTTTGATGGACCTGAAAACAAGAGTTGAATCCCTTTAAGTACAAGTGCATGTTACTGCAGGAATCCTTTTAAAACAACATTAAAGCTGCAGTATCTGGTTAGAACCACAGTTTATTTTTATTAAATGCTGCATTCTGCTTTTCATTTACAGAGTCTTAATGAAATCTACATCTCCAGCATTTCACCAACCGCTAAAATACAAAGAAAGAGGTGTTGTGCATTCCAAACGAAGCACGGATGACAGGGCAGACCAAACAGCTGTGAAATCTACAGATAGTATCAGTTATCCCAGTCCCTGTGCCAGTCCTTCTCCTCCATCTTCTGGGAAGGTATAGTACTTTGAAATCCTAGTAAAAAATAATGCAGACTGAAGAACATTGGCTAACATTGAAAAACAAACTAAAATAAGTCTACTGTGATGATTAAAAGTTTGTGAACTCTTGAATTTCCATATTTCTGCATAAGTATGACTTAATACATGATACATTGTCTATACAAGTCCTAAAACAATATAGGGAGATCCCAATAACATCAGTGAAACGCATATAATATACGTTCATTGATTTATTGGGGAAAATGATCCAAATGTACATATTTCTGTGTAGCAAATGTGAACCTTTGTTTTCAATAACGTGTATCCCTCTTGGGCAATTAAACGTTTTCTAAAACTCTTGATCAGTCTTACACATCAGCTCGGAGGAATTTTAGCCCATTCTTCCTTACAGAACTGTTTCAACTCAGGAATCCAATTTTCCTCAATGAATGGAGGAACAAGCACGATGTTTTTGATTAATTTGTTTCACTGGGTTTTCTTTATCTAGTTTTAGATCATTTTATGCAGAAATATTGAAAATGCAAAATGATTGACAAACTTTTAAGCACTACTGCATGTTAATTGTGAATATACTGTGGTTTTCAACATTTTATGTTAACATTCCAGCAGGTACTTTATCAAGAAACCTGACTCATAATATTTACAAGTTTATGAGGCATTCTGTTATCTTTTTTTTTTTAATTAAAATTTTTTGAAATTTTACAATAAAAACCCTTTCCCCAATCCCTCCCAACCCTCCCCAAAACCCTCCCCCATTCTTCCCAGAGCTGAATACAGGCTTAACTAGAACTCAAAAGAAAATTTTTTTTTTAACCCAAATAAACCTTAAACCAATATCATTACACTCAGTAAACAGATTATGACATACTTTAACTCCATTATATATAAAAAACAGAAAGGAGAATAAAAAAAAATAAAAAAATTAAAGAATAATAATAATTACACATCTAAATAAATATCTTAAATTTTAAATATAAATTATTCAAAAGCTAGATGGTATTTTCTTATATCATACTTATATTGTATAAAATTTATCCATCTTTTCCACACCAAAAGGTACTTTTCTTGTGATTGATCTTTCAAGAAAGCCAAAATTTTTGCTATTTCCGCTAAATAAGATACTTTGAAAAACCATTCTTGCAAAGTAGGCAAAGATTCCTTCTTCCAATATTGCCCTATTAACAACCTAGCCGCAGTAATTAAATTTAACATTAAAATAATCTCTTTATCATCACAATCCGAAACAATACCCAACAAAAACAGTTCTGGAGTAAATTTTATCCTTCTTTTAAAAATTCTTTGAATATTCCACTATATCTTAATCCAAAAAGCTTTTATACTTTTACATGACCACCAAATATGATAATAAGTGGCATCCAAGCAACCGCATCTCCAACATCTAGGCTGCAAGTTTGAATACATACGAGACATTTTTTGTGGATCAAGGTGCCATCTATAAAACATTTTGTAAAAATTTTCCCGTAAATTTTGGGCTTGTGTAAATTTAACATTCCTCACCCAAATAATCTCCCAAGTGTCTAATAAAATCGGTTCATCAAAATTTTGTGCCCACTTAACCATACAGTCTTTAACTAACTCTGCTTCTGAATCCAATTCCACTAACACACCATAAATTCTTTTAATATGAGTTCGACTTTGATCTCTGGTTTGTTTTAACAAATTCTCATCCTCTCTAAACAAGCCCACCTTATAATCTATCTTCCACCTTTCCGATAGTTGTCTATACTGGAACCAAGAATAAATAATATTTTCTTGTACTAATTCATCCATAGATTTTAATTGCCAATGCATTCTGTTATCTTTTTATAATAATGGTTACAAGGTAGCAGTGAAGAAAGGCTTCAACTCTGTTTATAGGAGACTCACAGAAGTCCGTTAGCCTACTTCTGAGCAGTTTGAGCTGAAATTTGTCTTGTGTTTTGAAGTACTCCAAGACACTGGACTGTATCACTTTGCAGAGTGGTAGTTTTTTTGCTTGAGTGACAAAAAAAAGAAGAAGAAAAAAGAATAATACTGGAAGAAAGCAGTGGGAGTGAAGAGGAGTTATTCCATCAACGTCAAGGGATGGGATATTGCTTTCATTACAGCTTTGCAGAAGCTAGATAATCCTGGTCACATCACAGCATGACTAGAATCATACATACCACCTCTTTTCCCTGTCTATTCAGGTGCTACCCTGCTCTAGCATGGAGAAAATTGTTTGCCAAGGTGGCCGGCAAATTAATATTTTGCCTCTTGGGAAAATGCAAAGATCACAATAGTCAGAAATATGGAATGGATTATACAAATAAGTCACTATTCCACTTCACTAAGCATTTCATTTTAGCCTAATACTTGCTAACATCATCAGTTGCTGGGAAAGCAACAAATTTCAGGGAGGCATTAGCTCAAAAGAGTTTTTCAAACTTGGCAACTTTAAGCATGCTGGCTGGAATTTGGTGGTGTTGAAGTCCACACATCTTAAAGTTGACCAGTTTGAAAGCATGGAGTTAGCTGAAGGAACAGTAGTATGCATAAAGGAGGCAAATTGGATGGAGGAGTAAAAAACGAGGATTGGAAGAGCTGTGGAGTGCAAGCAGAAAGGCGGCAATAGATTTGGGAAATGCAGTCAAATAGGGGCTCTCTAGACTTGCTTTGTATCCTACCTAGAGCACCTCCACATTGCACTGATGGAATATGAGCATCTTGTTATAAAGCATGCGAACTGTGAGTGCTGACAATATTTTCTGATAATTAATTTTACTGGATATTTTAAATTATTTTATGCAATGTACCCTGAGCCATTTTTTACCACCATTAAATAAAACTACACCCTCCTACTAAAACTGTTATACAGGTATAAAACATTCAAGAAAACCAATGTGTTAGCAAGTATTAGGCTAAAATGAAATGCTTAATGAAGTGGAATAGTGACTTATTTGTGTAATCCATTCCATATTTCTGACTATTGTGATCTTTGCATTTTCCCAAGAGGCAAAATATTAATTTGCTCAGGAATCAAGAACAGTCTTCCATCTCATTTAGTTATGAAAGCTTGGCTGTAGTTTGGCTGTAAAATGTTTAAAACTAATAATATTAAATAAAACCTATTTCGAGATCTACATACTACTTTGGGAAGGTTAATGACAAGCCATAACAGAAGGACCAACATTTATTGATTCTATGCTGCAATTATACTGAAGTTCCAAAGTCACCAGTTAAATGACAGTGTGATTGCTACATTTGATTTTGTACTTAATTTGCAGCATATAGCATTCATTCAGTATTTTCATTCTTTTGATTGCCAGCTCTTGAATTACATACTGCAAAAATTGCTGAGTTCGTAAGGTTTTTACAAAACTTAATTATATATCCCAAGCATTATAAAATAAAACTGTTTTGCAGGGTTCCAAGTCTCCTTCTCCAAGGCCAAATATGCCAATTCGGTACTTTATTATGAAAAGCAGCAATTTAAGGAATCTGGAGATTTCACAACAGAAGGGAATTTGGTCTACAACTCCAAGTAATGAGAGAAAACTGAATCGTGCTTTTTGGGAAAGTAGTGTTGTTTACCTGGTATTTTCTGTTCAGGGATCAGGACATTTTCAGGTAAGAACTCTCCAAACTGACAAATTGACTGTTGACAGTTTCACTACATATTACTGACATGTAAACTTTTGTCAAGTAATTGACTTGTTAATTTAATTTTACTATTACTTCAGTACTTTCAGAAAAAAGTGCCTTTGTGATATACAGATAGTTCTCACTTAAAAACAGCAATTGGGATTGGAATTTCCATCTCTAAGCAACATAGTTGTAAAATGCAATGTCATGGGATTGTGCCATTTAGCAACAGAAATTCTCGCACTCCCGGATGCTGTCATTAAGTGAATCACCATGGATCAGTAAAAGCAAGGGTGTTATGTAGTTGATATTTGCTAACTTCTCCTGGCTTCCACATTGATTTTGTTTTCAGGAAGCCAGCAAAGAAAATTCCAAGTGGTAATTGTGTGACCATGGGATGCTGTGATGGCCATAAGCATAAAGAGTGGTTGCAACCATCACTTGTTCAGTGGCTTCTTAAATTCAAATGGTCCTTGAACAAATGGCTATTAAACAAGGAGGACCTGTACTCCTGTACACCCTGCAGATGTAAAGTAACATTGGTGGTGCAGTGGTTAGAATGCAGCCTTGCAGGCTAACTCTGCCCACAGCCAGGAGTTTGAGTCTCATGGCTCATGGTTGACTCAGCCTTTCATCCTTCTGAGGTTGGTAAAATGAAGCAATATGCTGACTCGGTAAACTGCTTAGAGAGGGCTGTAAAGAACTTTTATGTGATATATAAGTCTTACTTGCTGCTGCTATTTTATATCACGTGCAGTACGATTGTCATATAAAAACTGATTCAGACATTTATCTGAAGATTGTTTTGAACACAGAGCTGAAAATTAATACCTAAATTTTACTTAGAGTTTTAATCTTGCTAAAATTTCCACAGGGCTTTGCTCGAATGTCTTCTGAGATAGGCCGTGAGAAAAGTCAAGACTGGGGTTCGACTGGTTTAGGGGGAGTATTCAAGGTGGAATGGATCCGGAAAGAAAGTCTTCCTTTTCAATTTGCTCATCATCTGCTTAACCCTTGGAATGACAATAAGAAAGTACAGATAAGCCGAGATGGCCAGGTATACTAATTTTTACATGATAAAATAAGATTTTCTTGCTTCTTTTAGCCTTTATTGTCAAGAATGTTTTGATACAGGTAGTTTTTTTAAAGTGATAAATGGGAGTGTTTTGCACTTCTGGGAATGTTTCTGGAAAAAAAACTATTTTCATTATTATTAAAATGATACAGAATTTCATTGCCTCAATTCTGCTTACCTTTATAAAGTGATTTGCTTTTTATAAGCCAGAATTTAAATTTTAGCAATCTCAAAGCCTTTTTTTCTCCTCCCATTTAGGAACTGGAACCTCAGATTGGTGAACAGTTATTACAACTATGGGACCGTATTCCTCTAGGGGAGAGAAACACAGCAGACTAAAAATAAAAGAGCAGATTTTTAGGTAGGGGCTAGTCCCAGGTTGATATTACAAATGAATGTGTTGAGATTTTCTTCCTTTACTGATCTGTGTACAGACATTTAGATGAAAGTGTGACTTGGGAGAAAGTAGCTGCCATCAACGTATAGTTAATGTAATGTTAGATGGCCTATACATGGCACTATACTTAAAGCCAGAAGAGGGAGAGGCAGAGCATATGCTTTCTGTATCACAGTAATAACAGCAGAAGGAAAAAAGACTAACGTGGGAATGTATCTGTGAGATATTGCAACATTTACTTAAACCTCAAGACACTCTTCCAGAGCACACTAATTTTTGTACTGCGGATTCATAACTGGCTGACTGGCTGTACTCAGCATATAGTCCTCAATGGAACTGCATCTACATGGGGGGAAGGGAATAGTGGGATGCCCCAGGGCTCTGTTCTGGGCCCAGTGCTCTTCAACATCTTCATCAATGATTTGAATGAGGGGATATATGGGGAACTCATCAAATTTACAGACGACAACAAGCTGGTAAGAATAGCCAACACTTCAAAAGACAGGTTTAAGATACAGGAGGATCTTGACAGACCTGAACTATCTGACAAAATGAAATTCAATGGTGAAAAAAGTAAGGTTCTACATTTAGGCAAGAAAAACCAAAAACCAAGGTATAGTTTAGGACAGGGGTAGGCAACCCAAAACACTCAAAGAGCCACTTGGACCCGTTTCCCACCAAAAACAAAACACAGGGAGCCGCAAAACCATTTTGATATCTAAAATGAAGATAACACTGCATATATCCTTTTTTACCTTTATTATAGGTGTGTGTATGTGTGTGTGTGTGTATGTGTATACACACACACACACACACACACACACATTAAAAATAAAAGTAAAAATATGACTCTTGGGAATATCCATACTATTAAAACAATGCTCACCGAGAGAATGCTTTAAGAGAATAAAATTACATACACACAAAGGTAAAAAAAGGATATATGCAGTTTATCTTCATTTTAGATGTCAAAAGGGTCTCTCTCTCCCTCCCTCTCTATCTGCCCTTGGTCTGCCACTCCTCTTCCCCCACTCTCTCTCTCTCCCTCTCTCTTTCTCTCTCTCTCTTTCTCCCCCCCCCTCCTATCTGCTGCTCACCTGGCAAGCTTCAAGCTGTTCTCCAACAAGCTGGGGGGAGGCAACCTCGTCTCTTTTATGACTCATGGACTTCAACTCCCAGAATTCCTGAGTCAGCCTAGCTGGGCTAGCTAGCTCTCTCCTGCCCTTCCTGCTTCCTGCAGAGACGCAGCAAAGGGAGGAGCTCCGCCCAGAAAGCTTTTCAGCTCCTCGGAGAATACTGTGAGTGCACTCTCTTTTACACACACAGACACAGACACACACACACACACACACACACACACACACACACACAGAGAGAGAGAGAGAGAGAAGCAGGGAAGCGCAATTGCCTCTCTCTGTCTCTGTCTCTCTCTGCAAAGGCAGAGGAGGCTGGGAGCCACAGGGGAAGGCTCAAAGAGTCGCATGCGGCTCCGGAGTCGCAGGTTGCTGACCTGTGGTTTAGGAGGTACCTTGCTCAATAGTAATAACTGTGAGAGGGATCTTGGAGTCCTAGTGGACAATCACTTAAATATGAGCTAGCAGTGTACTGCAGTTGCCAAAAAAGCCAACACAGTGCTAGGCTGCATTAATAGAGGGATAGAATCAAAAATCACATGAAGTGTTAATACCACTTTACAATGCCTTGGTAAGGCCACACTTGGAATACTGCATCCAGTTTTGGTCACATGATGTAAAAAAAAATGTTGAGACTCTAGAAAGAGTACAGAGAAGAGCAACAAAGATGATTAGGGGACTGGAGGCTAAAACATACAAGGAACGGTTGCTGGAATTGAGTATGTCTAGTTTAATGAATAGAAGGACGAGGGGGGACATGATAGCAGTGTTCCAATATCTCAGGGGTTGCCACAAAGAAGAGGGAGTCAAGCTATTCTATAAAGCACCTGAAGGCAAGACAAGAAACAATGGATGGAAACTAACCAAGGAGAGAAGCAACCTAGAATTAAGGAGAAACTTCCTGACAGTTAGAACAATTAACCAGTGGAACAACCTGCCTCCAGAGGCTGTGAATGCTCCAACACTGGAAGTCTTTAAGAAGAGATTGGACAGCCATTTGTTCAAAATGGTATAGGGTTTCCTGCCTGAGCAAGGGGTTGGACTAGATGACCTCCAAGGTCCCTTCCAACTTTCTTCTTGTGCCATATCCGTTATCGGACGTTGGTGATCCTGTTTTTATCAGCAGCCAACTTTATTCCAACATTATTATTATTATTATTATTATTATCGATCATCGCACAGTCAGCCAGATGTTCAGACTGGATTTGGCATTTTGTCTACCTATCGAGTCCTTACCCAGGACCTGGGATAGGCAGATGTGGATGTTTGATGGTATTACAGATATCTTCGCAGGATGGAAGCAGTTCCTAGTAAGGCCGCCTTTTGCAATTGACTAATAGCGAATTTGTCAATGCCAATGGTGTTCAAGTGGTGCTCCAGTTGTTTTGGGATTGCACCCAAGGAGCCTATGACTATTGGTACTACCCTTGCTTGCTTTTGCCACAGTCTTTCTATTTCTATTTGTAGGTCTTTGTATTTTGTTATCTTCTCCAGTTCTTTCTCTTCTATTCTGCTATCTCCAGGCACTGCCACGTCCACTATCCAGACTTTTTTGTCTTTCTTATCGACAATTGTTAAGTCTGGGGTGTTATGTTGCAGGTGCTTGTCTGTTTGAATTCTGAAGTCCCAGAGCAGTTTAATTTTATCATTTTCTATGACTTTCTCTATTTTATGATCCCACCAGTTTTTGCTTACAGGCAAATGATATTTTTTGCAGATCTTCCAATGCACCATTGTTGCTACTTTGTCATGCCGCTGCTTGTAATCAGTTTGTGCAATCTTCTTGCAACAGCTTACCAAGTGGTCCACTGTTTCTTCAGCTTCTTTGCATAGGCGGCACTTACTGTCTGTTGCTGTCTTCTCAATTTTGACTTTGTATGCATTTGTCCTTAAGGCTTGGTCTTGTGCAGCCAGAATTAGTCCCTCGGTCTCTTTCTTCAATTTTCCTGCTCTTAGCCATTGCCAGGTTTTATTATTATCTGCTTTCCCAGCTATTTTTTTCATGTATTGGCCATGTAGTGCTTTGTCTTCCCATGCCTCTATTCTGTTCTTCATTTGGTCTTTCTTGTAGGCCAGTTTGGTCTCTCCAGTAGTTAGTAAGCCTTCCTGATATACTAATTTCAGTGCATCTTCATCATTGTTCTTCAGATATTCTTCCAAAGCCATTTTTTCTTCTTCAACCATCTGATGTACTTGTAGCATTCCACGCCCACCTATTTGCCTTGGTAGATAAAGTCTATCAATGTCACTGCGTGGATGAAGGGCATGATTCATTGTCATTATTTTTCTGGTCTGCCTATCCATTGCTTTTAGTTCTGCTTGAGTCCAGTCCACTATTCCAGCTGTGTACCTAATGACTGGGATTGCCCAGGTGTTGATTGCCTTTATGGTATTTCCTCCATTGAGTTTGGATTTTAAGATCTTCTTCACTCTCTTGATGTATTCACCTCTAATCTTTTTCTTGACTTCAGTGTGCTTGATGTTGTCAGCTTGAAGGATACCCAAGTATTTGTAGTACTCTTCCTCATCCAGACTCTTAATGTTATTTTCGTGGGGCATCTTGATTCCTTCAGTTTTCATTATTTTTCCTTGTTTGATAGTAAGTGTGGCACATTTGTCCAAGCCAAACTCCATTACAATATCTTGGCTATATATACGGACAGTGTTGAGCAGCGATTCTATTTCAGATGATGTTTTTCCATACAGCTTCAGATCATCCATGTAAAGGAGTGGGATAGTCTGGCAGATGTTTTTGATGTTTGATAGCCATGTCCTGAGTTATTCAGTATTGTTGACAGAGGAAACAGTGCAATAACAAATAGTAATGGTGATAATGAATCTCCTTGAAATATTCCTCTCTTGATATTAACCTCTCCCAGCCTCTCACCATTGATCTGCAACTGTGTCTTCCATTGTGCCATCGATCTTTGCACAAATTTTCTGATGTTTCTACTGACTCCTGTTATTTCTAGGCACTTTATTATCCAATCATGTGGCAGAGAGTCAAATGCCTTTTTGTAGTCAATCCATGCCACATTCAGGTTGGTCTTCCTTCTCTTGCAGTTTTCCAAGATCATTTTGTCTATTAGGAGTTGATCTTTTGTTCCTCTGCTGTTGGGGCGGTTTCCTTTCTGCTCAGGTGGAAAGAGATTGTTTTCAACTAGATGCTGTTGCACTGCATCAGCTACTACACCAGTTAGTAATTTGAAAGTTGTTGGTAAGCAGGTAATTGGCCTGTAGTTACCTGGTGTTGCCCCTTTTGCTGGATTTTTCATTATTAGGTAGGTTTTCCCAGTTGTTAGCCACTTTTCAATTTCTCCTCCTTGTAGTATATTGTTGAACTGTTGGGCAATGAGTGGGTGTATAACAGTTAGATGTTTCAACCAAAACCCATGCAGTTCATCTTCACCTGGTGCTGACCAATTTTTGATTTTCTTTGCTCTTTTTTCTACCATTTTTGTTGTTATTACTAGTTCTTTCATTTCAACTTCTGTTTTATTTGCATCCACCTCTTTTAACCAAGCCGCATCCTTGTTGTATTTCTTTGGGTTATCCCATATCTGCTTCCAGAACTGCACTGTTTCTTCCTTGTCAGGTACTGACTGATTCCTTGCAGTTTCTCCATTGATGGATTGGTAGAAACGTTTCTGATTGGATTGAAATTGGAGGTTCTGCCTATAGTTTGCAATTCGAGCTTCATATCTACTGATTTTCCTGGCTATAGCTGTTATTTGTTGCTTTATTATTTCCAGTGCTTCCTTGATCTTCCTTGTTTCTAAGTGGTATTTCTTGATTAGGTATTCTTTGGTCTTCTTGTTCTTCAGCTTCTTT